CACCCGATCCTGTGAGTCGCCTTTTACAACAAGCATAGTTATCTTTTACGGCAAGCATGGGTTGCTGAAGACCTATTCTACCCCGGATCTTCATGGGTCTAAAGGGGCGGTCGGGTAGCCTAGTGGTTAAAGCGTTCGCTCGTCACGCCGAAGACCCGGGTTCGATTCCCGACATGGGTACAATGTGTGAAGCCCATTTCTGGTGTCCCCCGCCGTGATATTGCTGGAATATTGCTAAAAGCGGCGTAAAAGCACACTCACTCACTCACTCATGGGTCTAAAGGGGAACTCAACAGTATTACGAAATAATTGGTAACAAAGAAATCATTGCACTTCAATGTGATTCATTTTACGAAACTCGTGTAAAAAACCTCGTTCTCGCTTGGGGAATACAAGAATTCTGACACCCGTTTCGAAAAACCAGTATGGCACCCATGCTCGTATAATAATCTATCTACATGTACACAAGGCGCACAAGGACATATATATTCACAAGGATGTGTGATAGGTGTATACTTGGAGAATAACCTCCGAACAACGAAGAATTATTGATTATCTGCCCGGAGTGAATTAATTTTGTAAGTTGCCTTGGCGTTGAACTTTCAATTTATGAAGGTCAGTTAATCAATAAATCCGAGTTGCGAGGAGTTTTTTCTTTATATTACCAATTTTCCTTTTTTTCAGAGAAAATGTGGGTTTCCTTATGTCAGATTGAGACATCAGCTCAGTTCGTCTTTATTGTGGGGACGACGTCACATAAAATCGTCAGTGACGACATCTTCAATTAGACGTCACGTTATTTGGTGCTCTTCGCAAACAATGAAATAACGAACGAACCAGTCAATCAGCTCGAAGCAACTTATACAATGCTCTGGGAGAATGGCTGTAAAAAATCCCCTATAATCCGTGCCCCGATATAAGGATACGTACAAGGGCGTACAAGGATATTGTATACCAGTGTATGCAAGGATGGAGTGATATATACAACGATATATACAAGGGTGTGCAGGGATATGTGGAATGATATACAATGATACAAACAAATATGTCCATAATATAAAGCTATTTATTGGGATTATGTCATTGTTGAGTATATGTTATATTCAGGGATGGGACGAACCGTTCATTATTTATATAAACTTACTTCCTGCAGCCTCGCAGCGTAGATCACGTGAGTATATAAAGCGAGAAGATTCTGCTTGTTTGTCATACGGCAACATGTACATATACTATACCCAGCGTCATTATTGAGGGAACGCGGATAATAAGAATTAAAACGTCGCATAAAACTTCCAAGAATGTAATTCAGTTTTATCTGGAATTGACCATTTTATACCCACATTGCGTGTTCCTGTAATATATTGCCATTGCATAGGCTAAACCACTGGTTGCGTTCAGGCGTGTGTTTTGGGTAGCATTTTTCCATCAAACCTTCAATCTTTCACTTTTCATTATTATTAATAGTCGTTGTCCATTTTTCCAGTTTCATACAGCATCCAATCAGTGTGACATAGGCATAAGCAACGCGTTCTTTAACTGTCAATCACATTGTCAACATACCCAGACCTATTGACGCTTGTTGGCATATATTCATATTTGGCACCATACAGTCTTTGGTGTCAGTAGATGAACTTTTAATAATGACGCTGATTACATTTGAAAACGGTAGGGGATGTGAAGGAATGACAACAGATCAGAAGATAAGTAGACCTGTTTGATGTTGGTAGTGAGTGGACCATAAAACTGAAGGAGTTCTTTAAGTGGCACTCTAGAAGCTGTATTGCCAATAAATACTGAGTTGATTTTGATGGACTTCAACTTCATTATTCTCTCATTGTGGCGTTGCTAGTATATGTATCATTAGACTGACATTAAGTCCTAGAAATAAATTTATCTTATTTAAAAATATATATCCTCAAAATAAAAAAATAAAATCCAATTGGAGTCCAGATTAATCTTTAATTTCAGAGCTAATGCAATCTAGACTTGCTTAAGCATTCTAGACGTGAGATGGAATTTTCTCTTTGGTCTGGAAGACAGACTAATGTATCACTTAAGACATCGAAACTTAACATTAAAATAATAAAGATGTTGAAACCCTTGTGACTTCGTCTTCATTGAAGAATTTACAAAGAGTTCGAATCCCAAGAGGCCCGGAGTGAGTGAGTGAGTGGTCGTGGCTTTACGCCGCTTTAAAAATATTCCAGCATTATCACGTCGATGACACCAGAAATGGGCTTCATACATTGTACCCATGTGGGGAATCGAACTCGGGTCTTCGGCACGCTTTAACCACTGGGGAACCCAGAGGCCCAAAGAGCGATTGAAGGTTACATAGTTCTTATAAGTCACCAAGGGCGAAATATGAAAACTGCACGTTATAAGACATCGTGTGTCCATTAGGACTAAGTACATGCATAACATGCTCCTGACTAGCCGTCCAATGATCACATGCATATGTGGGGTGTCCTGTCCAACACCTTTTGAGTGCACGGCCTTAGTCTGTCTTACAGACCCTGATACAAATATATATCAAATACAGCCCATGCAAGTCTATAATGTTTGGCAAGTCTAGAAGAGAGTCACTGGGCTCCTTTTTATTTTATTTTTATTAAGATAACTGAACAACTGTTTTTTTTTTATGTACGATATGTTCATTTCAGAGACTAGATTTTAGTCTAGCACGGCCTAGACTATCTAGTATGACTGCGGTGTGTTGACAACGACGTATCAAGCTAAACTACAGTGTGTGAGTGAGTGAGTGAGTATGGTTTTGCGCCGCTTTTAGCAATATGCCAGCAATGTCACGGTGGGGGACACCGGAAAATAGGCTTCACACATTGTACCCACGTTGGGAATCGAACCCGGGTCTTCAGCGTGACGGGCCAACGCTTTAACCTCTAGGCTACCCTACCGCCCTTAGCGAAACTACAGAGCAGTTCTCAGAAGATGTTCTCATCTGGAAGGATCTCGTTTTGTAATAAAACTGGCAGCAGGTAAAAAACGTGTGATCAGTCCAGTGTCTGTTACCCACTGCACAGCTTGACACAAGGTAGTATTATATTACTATAAACAAACACATTTGGTGCCTGTGTAAGATGAACAAAGTTTGTACCACAAACATATTGTATTACCTTGACTGAAAACGTGGGGATTCCGGGTTAGGAAAGGTCCGCAGTTACCTGTGCCGCTCGTGAGAGGCGACTAAATGGATCGGCTGGTCAGGCTGGGTGACTTGCTTGATTGCGTGTCAATACCCCAATTGCGTGGATCGTTGCTCACAATATCGGCCACTGGATTGGCAGTCTAGACTCGATTAGGCTCTATTAATAGATGTTACCGATTGTGTCCAACGCTTCCTCAATTGAGGAAATATATGTATTCATGCAGTGCTGGTCTTTGTAAGTATATAACGCTGTGACGTTCTGTTGTTGCTGCTGCTGCTGCTGCTGCTGCTGCTGCTGCTGCTACAAGTTTTGTTTGTTTGTTGTTTTACGCTGCATGCAGTCAGCGATATTCCAGCTATAGGACGGGCGGTCTGTTAATAAAACGAATCTGGACCAGACCACCCGATGACTTTAGTCGCCTCTCACGACAAGCAAGACCTAGTCTAACCCCGATCTTCACGGGTTTGGAATATTCCAAAAAAGGTGGAATACATTAAAAAACGGTTAAAACGAACTCAAAGGGACTGCCAATTTTAGTTAGTCTTAACCGTAGTTCGTTATAAGCATATATACAGCAAGTGGCCGGGACAAAAAAATTCGTTATATCCGTCAGTTCGTTATAAGCGTGTTCGTTATAACCATAGTTTACTGTATTGCTAAAAGCAGAGACCATATAATAGATATAATATAATCTATTATATGGATATGGTCTCTGCTAAAAGGTCGTAAAACCATACTCCCTCCCTCACTCTCTATTAACCAAGTACATATACAATGTTCGGCTGTTGGTATCGGCCCGCAATGTGGCGAAAAGTCAAACAAAGCCTCTCGATCTCGACAAGCAGGCGATATTGTACCCGGAATCCCACCGGAATCCCCACGTCTTGACGTCCGACCAATCGCAGCTTGGGGCTACATGAGGATGAACCAAGACTAATACTAGTCATATATTACAGGGGTACTCCCCTAATGCTTGTCATATTTGTGTCCATGTACATGTTGTTCATGACCCTCCCGAAAAAAAGCAAAAAAGCAGGAGCACTCCATATATTGTAATAAAATGTCCATTTCCAACATAAACGCGAAAAAAACCAGTTGTTACATAATCTTAATAAAATAAAAAGGAGCCCAGAGACAAGTAATTTTCAGAAACTAGGCATATAGTGATCTTGACTATTATTTTAGACCTGTTTTGGATGCATTGGATATATTTATTTCATGCAGGGCCTGTAAGATTCAACTAACTATATTTTAGCTTTCCGGAACTCACTTGTCAGAATTATTTTTTATTAAAAAAAGTTCAACTGTAGCCATATCCAACAGAATTAGCTTGATGTTCACAAATGTGAAAATGAGTGATTTCATTTTTTATCGCCCTCAATCACGCCTTTGTCTGATAATCACGTCACGGCAAAACTTGGCGTTAAACTGACTTCCGTCTCTCTGATCTTGCGCTGATGCCACTACCACGTTTCAATAAAGTGCCAGTTTATTCTGACACTCGGTCAAACTTCTATCTCGCGTTGACATTTCGAAGCTCACGAGCACCAGCTTTTCGGATCTGCAATCAAGGGGAGGTAATCGATGTTCACTACCAATCCCCATTTGTCACGAGCTTCTTTCTGTGACCGACAAAGAGGACTTGAACCGGAATAGCACGAGTTGGTCCCGAATGTAGTTCTTGTAGGTTACGGAAACATGCGAGTGGTGACGAATGGAATGTACTAATTCGTGACAGCTGGCATCTTTATGTAATGTATACAAAGCCATTCGGCAAGTCCCGGAATGACCTTCGTTATCATGTGCAATCATACGGAAATTACCGAGTGGAATTTTCCGAAGACGTGTGACATAAACATCCGGTTTCGGACAGCGAAAGACGAGAAGTGAATGTTTATAGCTGCGTCAATCATTTGACAACAATGGCTCATTTACCGAAAACATTTAAAGAAAGAAGGACCCAGGGTATGTCTGCTTCTTAATCTATGCCGTATGTTTGTCTGAATGTGAAACTGTTGCAGGAAATGTCAACAGAAATGTCTGTCAAAATAAGTATTACAAATGATGTCACCATGATTCTTGATTGTCTCGAACGGGGCTAGATGTCAAGACTGTCATCGGCAGGATTGCCCATAGTTATTGTCGTAACTTGTCGCGTTTTGTTGTTGGCACCGTTTTGTTGTCTGTAAATACTATAATCAACTTAACACTAGTTCACGAATTCACATGACGCGCAATGGTGGAAGTTGAGTGGGGAAAACCCAGATTACTCCAGACAATAGTGTATTTACTATCCTATCATGATGAGAAATCGAAAACAACATCTTTGATATTTGGTGTTTTGTTTAGAAAACATTTCAAGGTGTGGAAAAATAACGTTTCAGTTCGTTTCGCTTGATTTTCAACATGGTTGAGATATCCAAAGTCGTATATATGTGTTTGTGTATGCCATTCTGTTATAAGTCAGGGTGGCCTCTTGAAAATGTGGATTTTTAATTCCAACTACAAAACACGTCTTTTGTGTACTTGAGCAAAGTCACTGAAAAACACATGATTTTGCTTGCCCTGTGTACTGGGGCTGAAGTGGTGGTTGTCGGCACAGGCACTACAGAAACATACCCCAAGTACCTTTCTGTATCCTTGTGTTATGAAAGTTCGATCACTTACGAAAAGTTGCTGAATATTCATAGTAACATTTATATAATCTTTCTTTAATTATCTTACCTGTAAACTTGTTTATCTATGACAAACATTTCCGAAATCCAGGTATTTCCACTGAAATTGAAACTTGCGGCATGGCTGCCCTCTCACTGTCAACAGAAGTGACCCAGAAAGCTACGTCACGCAAGTTCGATCATTTGATTGGTTGGCTTGTCAAATAACTGGGATGACATCTATATCAGAAGTGTACCCTAGCCAAATTCAACATACAGAAACATATCCCAGGATGAGTGCCTTCTGCTGCAGGGCCAGAAGGCACAATGCACATAACCAGTTCTTTAGGTATTCTTCACCTCCTGTGTGCCAAACCACAGTTACATTCATCATGGCAGTACTGTCATACTGTTGTATGAGATGCAGTATAATATTTCGCGATGCATGCATGCACCCGTAATCAGACAAACCGGAACTACAACATGAACCAGTTTTGGTTTGGGGAATATAAAATCGTCCGCTGTTTAGGGTACCAGGTACATTTCTGTATTCCAATTTAGGCTAGGGTACATTTCTGTATACAGAAAAGTACCTTAAGTACATACCTGTTGGCCCATAAGGCCACCTTCCTGAGGCAATTAAGCTAACTGACTATAAAAGTCCAGTTTCCACTCTTGCTGAACTAGGCTGGAATTTCTGGACTCCATTGTAGCGCCACCACTGGCTATTACGAGTAATGTCCCTTCTATGTCACTCCTAGTGACCACTCAAATTCCACCTGTCATATCCCTTGCATTTGCTTCAAACAAAATGGTGGCGCCCAGTCAGAACGATATGATCGATAATCAAGATCTATATTGTGATAAAATGGGTCTTATTTCGCGAAGTGCATCAAATCATGTGAGCACCTTGATTAAAAACATGAACAGGTTTGAAACATCTGTTGACGTTGAGTTGGCGGTACACATGCTTTGCAAACCCTGCGATCCACCGAAATGTTCACAGAATTTTCAAACCAGATGTAGATTTTGTTTCACGATTTTGAATAGACTAAGCATAGACTCATTAGTTCAGCCAAAATAGAACTCCATAATTCCAGCCTAGTTCGGCAAGGGTGGAAACTGGACTTTTATAGTCAGTTAACTCCCTTGGCCTGGGAAGATGATTACGGCATAGCCCACCCAGACAGAATCCCTATAGGATAAAAAGCCCTGCTACAAAAGTGGCATCAGGCCAACCAAGAAGTCAAGAAAGCAGAGAGAACTGATAAAGAAGAGACTGTAGAACCTGTGTGCAGTCTACAGTGACAACAAACTCGCTGTTGAGGAATTTCTGTATGGTGTGGGGCTCAGCATTCGCTTCTCTTAATGATTGATGGTGACACAACAACCGTGTGATGATTGGATATAGAAAAAAAAAATATGTCTGATTTCAACTTATGTTTAATTTTTAATTTTTTGTCATATTGGGGCTTTTATCCTGTGGTGATAATGTCCAGGTGGGCTTTGGACCTATCATGCCTATGGGGCTTTCATCCACAGGGGCTTTTGTCGTAATAGAATCCGCTACTTAATCTGATATATATTGGCAGTTATTTTTCTTTACTTTACAATAGAAAATGATCCTCATTTCCATAATTTCAATAGTCACTGGATCGTCTGGGTCAGACTCAAGTGTTTGCGTAAAAATTCTGGAATTTTGCAGAGTGTGGAATTAAACAAACAAAATAGCAACATTACACTTCATGATACATGTGTACTGTACTATATCGAACAATGACTATATCGAACAATGACTATATTGAACATCTTTCCAAGGCAAGGTTGTTTCCTGACTATACAAGTCCAGTTTTCACCCTTGCCAAACTAGGATGGAATTCCAGAGTTATATTTTGGCTAGACAAACAAGTCTGTGCATAGTCTAATCAAAATCGTGTAACGAACTAGACACTCGGTTTGTAAACAACATTGTTTTCAACGTATAGATTCTGGTTTACTGTAGGAATTGCAATGCATATGTTCCATCAACTGGGTGTCAACAAATATTTTTCAAATCTGTTCATGTTTTTAATCAAGGTGTTCATGTGATTTGATGTACTTCACGACGTAAGACCTGTTTTATTACAATATAGATCTTGATCATCGATCAGATCATCTTGACTCGGCGCCACAGTTTTGTTAGAAGCAAATGCAAGTGATATGATAGGAGGGACATAGAAGGGACGTAACTCACAATAGCCACTGGTGGCACTATGATTGAGCCACGAAATTCCAGCCTCGTTCGACAAGGGTGGAAATGGGACTTTAATCAGTCAGTTAATGCCCATGCCTTGGGAAGATGGTATTGAACGATTGCTCTCACTCGCATCAAGCAGATTCAAGCAACATGTGACCACCTCCTTGGTGTAGTGGTAGAGCGGAAGGTCCGGGGTTCGATCCCCGACCGCATCATACCAATAGATGTTAATAGATGGTACTTGTTGTTACCCTGTCTGGTGCTCGGCATTAAGGGGCTAAAACAAGGACTGGTCGGCTCAGAGTCAGTATACTGTGTCTGAGTGGGGTATTCATGTTAAACTGTGGCATGGTATCTCAGTGGGCTAGCACTATAAATCGGCATCAGTCCAGACAAGTACAAGCAGCCACACACACACACGTACATGCAGGTCGCGACGTTAAACCCAATTTCACCTTACCTCACCTCAAGCAACACGTCATTGATAAACCATCAATAACCATGATAATAGGCACTTATGTTCTTTGTTTTTCAGAGCAGAGAATCCAGGATGTTGAAGCCATAAGAAACCAGCATGTTGATAAAATTCCAGTAAGATGTTTGCTCAAATCTCTTTCTAGTTGCTGTTGAACATGTTAAACATGATTCCTTTTAACAAGTTTGTCAAGTCTGGAAGTATAACCATGATAACCACGATATGACATTTTTGTCCTCAATGTTTGTCTTTACATGTTTGGAAGATATATCACATTGTTAAGAAAGGCTGCAAAACAACAGTCACTGTCTTTTGCTTTGTAGTCATGTTCAATCATTTCTATAGGATGTTACACTTGTTGAAGGTTTTGTACCAATGTGTTGTCAGGAGAGGATAATAATAGTGCTATTCCCTGTGTGTTGGTGGATAACTGCCAAAAAACTATAGTCATACAAACTGATAATAATATTTTACCTGTATATATTCAACATGCGATTATCTTCAGCAAAAGATTACTTTATCTTTGTGTATTAGAAACTGTATTAAACACTCACTGTTATTTTAGTTTCTCCTTCCATCGCTGTTTGCAAACAAGACCACATACGCAAATGAGTGGTTAAAAAGAAGGAAAGCCTGGTCACTTTGCCAGTTTTGAAATCTGGAATTGATGAGAAATATTTGTGTGTGTGTGTCCTTAATGAAGGTTGGGCAGAATACAGACCCAAATGGAATCAGTTATATGTGTTCACTGCCATGCCGTCAAATCTTAAACAAGATGATTTTCTCTGACAAGACCAATGAAGAGAAATAAAAATCCTGCAGTCTTAATAATCAATAAATGATGTTATTTTAAAAGATGAATAAAACTTCCCTTGTCCATCTATTAACGAGGCTCGAAACATTTCTGAAATCCAACTTGTCCTGCAGGTCAACATGTCACCTGGCCTTTAATATTTCATAAAGTTTTATGTTCTCAGTTATTATTACCATTTTCTGTATTTAACATTTGAGGATTTTTACGACAGACAGTAATAAATAATTCACAGTCACTCTCATCTACATTCATCTCTGCCCATTAATGCCAGTTTGCTGAACCAATGCGTCTTGCACTGTTTGTTTTCCTTTTACAGTCATACTGTTTTTAAGACATCCTTTTTACTCGTCTGTTTGATAATCAAATCATGACTTTTCTTGTCAACCCCACCATCCCCACAATTAATAAATTATATCAGCCATTTCTCTCACATCATCATTCACTCTAGCTTTGACATTTGAGCATCAGTAATGAGTAACAAAAATAATAAAATTAATTATCTCCCTTTAAAACCTGTTTCGAGGCTTGCTGAGCAAACACACTTTTCTATTTATTTCTTATGTATTTTGTTATCATTACTGAGAACATACGAAAAATGATAACATATTTTAGATTCAAAATTATCCTCTATGTTTTAATGAAAACGATTAGAGATGAACTTATACATGCGAGCGGACAAGATTTTTCGAGCCCTGTACTATGAAAAAAACCCACAGAACAAATGATTAAATATTAATTATTAAATTGCTGTTATGCTTGTTACTATCAACAGTGATCTATGCACTTTTCTCTGCTTATCCTTGTGCTATATGTTTTCTTTTGCTAACAGGATAATATTTCTGGCAATTTTGTTTGCCATTGAAAACATTTTACCTATAGTTAAAAACACTATTGCAATATTATGATAATTTATGAGATAAACTGAGTTATGATTATGTATGTATGCGTGCGTGTGTGCGTGTATATAACATATAAATGTCTGCTTCAAAATTGTCATGGTAGCAACAAAATACTCTACTAGACACTATGTGACAGGCAGGTGGGAATAAATTTCACCAATCCGACAGAAATATTACCATCCAAGATGGTGGTGGCTTGGTCTTTACTCTCCATCTTGATTCCTATTTAACACAACATGATCAATGTCAGGTAAATGTTGATACTATTGTGATTGTGTTCAGGTGATCATCGAGCGCTACAAGAATGAGAAGAATCTGCCGATGCTGGACAAAACCAAGTTCCTTGTCCCAGACAATGTCAACATGAGTGAACTCGTCAAAATCATCAGGTTGGTTGCCTTCTGTTGTTCTTCACCTGTTCTAGGGGCGGAAGGGTAGCCAAGTGGTTAAATCATTTGCTCATTGCTAGGTTTGCCAGGTTCACCACGTTCAATTCCTCACGTGGGTACAATGTGTCCCCTGCCATGATATTGCTGGAATATGACTCAGGCTTGGTCTGTGCTGTGTGGGCACTGCAGAGTTAGAGATCAACAGACAAGTGCAAGTCCCATGGACTAGTGGTGAGTATCAAAGGGGGCACTGGTAGCCCAGGACCAATAGGTACAAGAACACTAGGAGGTTCCAACAAACGGAGACAGCTGATTGGCTTAGGTTTGGGGAATACCACTTCTGGGTGAATCCCATTCAATTTAAGTAATCCTTGGAGGTATTTTTTATGGCAGTTTTCATATCATACCCCATATCAACCTGAGACTCCCAATTCTACCCGAAAGGTATATGAAATGTAAATTATAAGCTATCAGTGTTATGAGGTATTTCACATTTTTTATAAAGCCAACATAGAGATGGTCATATCACAGGGGGTGTCATAACCAGACCTGTATTACTAACAGGCTGATCATGCTGATATGGTTTGTTAATGAATTTTAAATGGGCCATCAATATCGTCTCAGGTGGTAAGAACTTGGAGTTATGTCCCTTAGTGTGTCGTCTGTTGGCTTGCTTTCCTGCGACAATGTCTTCCAAACAAGTTGATAATGTATTGCATTTACTTTGCAAACAGATTTGATATTATGTTATATGATAAGAAGGTTAAATCTGGGTCTCTGGTTGATATGGGATATGATAGTCAATATGCATTTCTGTCAAATGACATGTGATCTTTTCTTGCCAATGAGGGGGTCACGGGTGGCCCAGTCGTCTAAGGCGCCGCAATTCGCTGTGCAGAGTTGCGTCCCTTTGGGCACGCCAGAAACCTATGTTTGTTGGTTTGAGTTCCGGTTCGCCCCGATTATGTTTCTAGGTTTGTCAGCACCATACCCGTGCTCGTGGGTTTCACAAAGGGTGGTAAACGTCTGAGACCTGCATCACTTCGGGCTTTCCTCCCACATTAAGCTGACACGCCGTGATATAACTGGAATACTGTTAAAAGCAGCGTTAAACACAACTCACTCACTCTTGCCAATGAATATAGTGGCAGTCTTTGTATTTTATAATAAAATTATTTACCAGCCAAAGTGATGTAGCTGACTATGTTGCTGACTGCACCATCACTCCCAAATGACAGAACCAATTGTAATCCCCCATTCTCTTTGTCCCCTAGACGGCGCTTACAGCTGCATCCCAGTCAGGCGTTCTACCTCCTCGTCAACGACCGCAGCATGGTCAGCAACACCACACCCATATCCGAGGTGTACCAGCGAGAGAAAGACCAAGACGGCTTCCTGTATGTCGTCTACGCGTCACAGGAAACGTTCGGTTCTGCATGAAGAGTCTTTTCCACAAACTGTAGTTCTATGAAGATTAATTGTTGAGTCTTTAACTGGCTGTGTGACAGTGACTGTCAGGCCGCCTTGGAGAGTGGTGTTCTGAAATTCACCAAGCTGATGAGGCAGTACTGAAATTACTAGTTTATTTGATTGTTGTGGTCAGCAAGTGGGAAAATATAATATTAAGGCTTCTTTTTTTAATCACTTGGTTAAAAGATTTAAATTAAAATACCCGATTGCAATTAATGTAAGTGACAATCTGGTGAAACATGTAAAAAAATTAAAAAGCATTTTTTGAATGGAAAGTCAAAAACTTAATGCTTAATATTGATGTATTTTTTTATTACTGAAATTGGACCTGGCAGGAAGAAAAAAGACTGCATTCAACATTTCTATTTTTCCACATTTGTTTGAAGATTTTGGGTTGGTCGAACTGCAAACTAGGTTGTTAAAAACAAATTCCAGGAGTATCAGTGTCTGAGGTATCTTTTTTCACGTTTGTTGTATCATGATTACTGGTATTATTTAATCATACCATGTTCAGGGAGAGTCATTACTTCTTCAGTTTACACGAGGAAAGTATCAAAACAATGAAGTTGGGTTCTCTAAGAAACTAGTCTTATATAATTGTTTGAAGAAAGAAAGATGTATTAAATACATTTATTTTATTTCAATATCCTCCAAAATTCCACATTTTTATAGCAAATATAATATTAACATTTTGTTTGGTCAAAACACTGTTTGCCATGTTTACCTGTTAACATTGAAGAAGCCAAAAATGATGTATGCCAAATGACTTTTAAAATTTGGATATTAAGAATGTTTATATCATTAGCATAAATCATGAATATGAAAATATAAATATTGTCTGTATTTGGGTTCTGGTTGTCTCATTTTGAATTTTGTATTTCTATTTTGAAGCTTTCATGGTCATATACTAATTGTCCTTTGATTGTTGGTAATATTATTTTGAAAATGTTCTTATTTTTTTCTGATATATTGGAAAGACTTGTGAAGTGGACAGGATGTTTTAAAGATAAATATTATGTTTATTGGGGTAAATGTTCCAGTGTGATATAAATACCCTGAACCCATTGACTACCATAGAGTCCTTTCCTTTTGTGTCCATAGATGCTCAGAATAGCAGTCCTATCAGATTACACATTGGTTATTGGAACTCATTCTGAACAATCATCTTCACTGGTTGCTGATTTCAAATGAAAGATGGTGATATTATTTCCCACACAATCCTATGAGAATGGGCCCAGGGTATATATCATTATGGCATAAGTAGATAAATATTTGTTTGGAAATTTGAGGTAGTGTTACCATTAATTTGATACCTCGTATTCTAATTTGGAACTGACAGGCAAGAATTTTGAAATGTCAAAGACAGAATTACCAGGAAGAGTTTTCACAACTGGATAGATATTCTGGTATCAGAACTTTATGTTTTGTCTCAAAGCTGAAGAAAATAGTCATGCCAGAGAGATCTATATTATAAGCAGTTTGACCATTCCATGTAGCAAGAATATGAGACGGATCTTGAATTGTGAGTGTGTCTGTCAGATTAGACATACACATGGGGGAGCTACGCCAGCATTGTTAGGTGAGGATGACAAGTCATTAAAGTATGGTAAGCCAAACCAATTCTATCTTCCTTTTTTTTCAGATTCTTGACCAACCCAAAAGTATTTAGATTAGACAGGTCATGTTTAAGTTAAATAAAAGTAACTATACAGTTGATAACCTAATACATGTAATATGAAAAGGATTCATTTTTCTTTATAAAGATCTTAAGACCAGATGTTTTTCAAAATTGATTTACGGATCTGCCAACCCTTTAAAAAAATGGTAAATGATATAATTTGAATCGCGATTCTTTATACTGCCTACTGAAGACTTACATATAAACAGAAAAGAGTTGTTTGTTCATTATGTTAAGTTGTAAGGCTGGATTTATTAAGACTGCACACAGAGCAACGTGTTCAAATGTCTTAAAAAACAAGAACCAGAGATGTCTTATGGTTGTTTTTTATCACCTACTAACCAGGACTTTTTCACAGAAATATACTTTAACCATAAAAAAGGAATAACCAAATGTAAAAAAATATTACCTACAATAACAAAAAGGATACTCTTTATCAAAAACATTTTCAGGAAGAGAATATATGGATGTCAACTTCTTTATAATGAGGTTGACATCCATATATTCTCTTCCTTATGTGTATCACTTCTAAATGCCTTTCAAAGACCAAAACATATTTTTTCTTCTTTCCTTGCGGAATTCCATGTCTGTCAGTTGTCCCACATGGTTTTTACCTCCCACTCTGTTTCCTTGTTAGTCACTCAAGTAGACCTGGGGGGTGGTCGATGGCCTAATGGTTGGTGCCTCTCCTCATACAGTTGGTCCTGGGTTCACGTCCTGACATGGGTACAGTTTGTCCTCCATGGGCATGGCATAGTTGTATGGCAGCGTTATCTCACCCTTTCAACCTAGGCAGGTTTAACAATTTGATAGTATGTTTCTCAAATTGTGTGACTATGACATTTTCAAAAGCAACGATATTTTAGATCCTAATTTAACACTTTTCAACTGGACTATGTGTTTCTCAGATTTCATTATGTTGAAGCACTGGATTAAATCCTGTGTGGTGTTTGTTTGCATTTGTTTGGGTGATTTTCAGGAAATATTGACATTTTGGGACCAACATTTAGAATATGCCAAAGTGTTGCTCCAACACTGTTCACTGACACCTCACTCTGAAAGTGCTGATTCTGCACATATTTCCATCACTTACTCTCAGGCCCTAAAGCACAATTTACTGACAGTGCTGAAAAAATACATTGGTTTCACAAACAGGGACACGAGTCAAGCAGAACCAATACAGTGTTAAAAGACTTTTTTTTATCAGAACCAAACTTCCTTCCCATAATTTGTAGTCTTTTGCATCTGGCAGGAAGATGTAAAGTATTGTGAAGAATATTTTAGAAGATTGGCAAATGAACTATTGTCATCTTTATACACAAATCTTTTGTCCTCAATTATCCCAAACTTTCCTAAAATGGCAGTGAGAAAACAGTATTTTTTAGTATGAACATATCTTCTATGTTCATGTTAGTTCAAGCCAGTTACCTCTATAAAATCACCACAGCTAGTCAACACTGTACTGGGAGACCAGCTGGCCTGGTCATCAAGGCGCCACAATTCGCTGTGAGAGTGGCGTCCTTTTCAACTAGATTCCGATGGCCATGGGTTCAAATCCCAAATGTACCTAAATCTGATTCTTGTTGTGTCGGCGTCATACCTGTACTCCTGGTTTCCCTCTCACATAAAACATGCTGAAACTGAAATACTATTGGTTAAAGTGTTACTCCACTAATACTATACTTTAACATTCTGATATTGCTTTGTAAAGTGGGAATATATTTGGTATCACATTGATTAATGTCTGTTTACCTCTCAGTTTGCTAACAAGCTTTATTCATACTGTACAATATCATACTCACCATGGCAGATGTTTCTTTGTATTATCTTGCTTATGTTCAGCTTTAAATGTCATGTGATGTGAGCTTTGAATAATGTTACATATGATCATTGTTCTTTTAAAGGTTGGGCCTGTTGATTTGTTCTCTGTAGGTAAGTTTGTCCCAAGACTGTTGCATCATGGTATAAGTACTATAACTCTGGTGAAGGTTGTCATGACTACTATATCATCTCTGATTTGTTCATCAAAATTGAAGAATGTCATGTTGGCATAATTCAAATTTTTGTTTGTGAAGCATTTTCTGTATAACATGTGGTCCTAGTCTAATAAGTAAAATATTTTAGATATGTCTCACAATCTGTTCCTATCGACACTAGTCAAACATTGGTCAAATAAGCCAGCAATACCGTTTCACAAGATCAGGACAATCCGTTGCTTTCATTGCCAATTTTCATGACTGTCGTACAAATTACAATAAAAATGCAAATAAAATGATAATAGTTTCATTGTGTGTAGAATAAACATCAAATGTTTGGTTATCATAAGTGTCTGATTATGTCTTACGTTATTGTGTGACAATATGTTTCATATTGTAAAGCCCTCGTTACACTATCAAAAACTTTGATCACAAACTTGGTCAAAGTCAATTTTGACCAAGTTTTTCATATTGTAACATGCCGTCAAAAACTTTGACAGTTTTTGATGGAATAGAAACCGATTTTATTTCTTGTCAAACTTTGATCAAAGTTTGATGACAATTTAATTTAGCAAATCATAATGCAAGGAACATTTACCCCTTTTCAACCGGGTAAATAGGTGGATAGAGGCAAGTCAAAATGAGCCAACTATTTTGGACTGACGAGATGTTGGCAGAAATAATTGATATGGTTCAGCCATTCTCGGGACCAAATATTCCTTTGCCTACCCTGACGCCGCCTTCTTAACATGGCAATACTCAAAATACATATGACAACAGAAAAACATCTTTGTCAGTTGCATCCATCTTGGCAAGATAATTCCCGCCAAAACTTTGACGGCCTGTCAAAAACTTTGATGAGTGTAAACAGCCCAACTTGGACCATGGAACTTGGGAAAAGTTTTTGATCAAGGTTTTGATAGTGTGATGGGGGCTTAACGCGGGCTTAAGTCTTGTATCATGATTTGATATCGTAACACCATAGCCCTCATTAGTATGATCTGTAAAGATGTGTTATCAGTGCTTGTATCATCTTGTCAGTTTGAGGGTGGAAGACTTAAGCCTAGAATGTTCAACACACTTCCAGCAAATTCAAATTCAGATGTTGAGAAAACAACCCCAATATAGGAACTTTGATTCATAATAAACTGTTAGAAACAGTTACCATTGGTACAAATTTAAATGTACAAACTTTTTATAGAAAACGAAGTAGAAATTTAGGCTCAAAGTCTTTTCACCAATCGTTAGTCACATTTAATTCAGATTAACTGATTGTATGGTAGGGGCATGTGTGTATATATGATTTTCGCTTTGTTAATATTTCAGCCCATGTGTTTTAATCATGTTTTTCAGTTTCTCTACACTCTCCCAGTGAGCGTGATAAGTAGCAGCTGATAAGGAGATCATAGATATTGTCATACTGTCAGTGCTCATAATACAGCCAAAGTGTTATTCTAAGATTGGTGGCCAGCTTTAGTTATCTCTGTTGTAAATTCACCTTTTCCAAATGATTGATCTCAGGGCTCAGGGATTTATCTTGGCATTCTCTGAGGCCAAACGTCAACAGCAATTGTCAGTAATAATTCCCAAATATAAATTAAATTTTTCTGAAATTCAGGTTATTAATATGATAACTTATGTTTAAGTTGGCTTGTATTTATTGATAAAAAGTTCAATGATGAGTAGGGGGCACGGGTGGCCCAGTCGTCTAAGGTGCCGCGATTCGCTGTGCAGAATTGCGTCCCTTGAGCATGCCAGAAACCTATGATTGTGGGTTTCAATCCCGGTTCACCCGATTATGGTTCTAGGTTTGTCAGCACCATACCCCTGCTCGTGGGTTTCACCGAAGTGGTAAACGTCTGAGACCTGCATCACTTCGGGCTTTCCTCCCACATTAAGCTGACACGCCGTGATATAACTGGAATACAGTTAAAAACGGTTTTAAACCCAACTCACTCACTCACTCAATGATGAGAAACAAGCTTTATGCTTACTTTTAAGATACATCATTCAATGTAACATTATCCCTGCATTTTTAGAAAATAAAGTCTGTTGTGACAAAAACAATTTTGGGCCAATTTACTTGCCAAGGACACTTAATTTGATGTCCTAGATAAAATCCCTGGCTGGCTGTAGTTTCAGATGAGTACTGTGGTTGAAGTATCAGCTCCACCATTGAAGCCTTTAGGCCTTAGTCAGCACATAATGTCAAGTATTCAACAAAGAAAAAATGTAGTTTGTGGTTGGTTTGATTTGGTTCAATATCTCGAGGGCGTTTGGCTAGAATTGCAGGCAAATGTTTATCAGTGTTTACTGCTGCCACCACTCAGGGAGCAACCATTTGATTTTCAGAAAGGGAAAAAATAATCAAGCCCCGTTTTTCGGAAAATATATTAGAGATGCTTCACATTGTAGGAAAACAAATAATGGTCTCTTTTCTTGCAGACAAGTGTCAAAAGAATACAGTTGGTTATTTTAATTTATTTGATAAAATATATAATTGAGTACCTTATTCTGTTTGGAAAAAATAATTTAGTTGTGACACATTAAACACAAGGATATACTGATCTCAAACCAACCCCACCCCAGAAAAAAAATATGAAATGGTTGCCCCCTCATCTTTTGTGTTAGTTTAGTAGTCAGGGTAAACTGACTCCAGGGTCTAAGGCACTGCAGAGATGGGTCCCTTAGCTTCCATGATGCATCTTGTGGGTTTGAATCTAAAATGTTCCCAGTGATAAATCTTGGTCTGGGTTTTCAAGGGTTTTCACAAAAGGGGTAAATGTCCAAGACCTGTACCTCTTTGGTCTTCCTCTCACATTGTTCTGCTGGTGTGATAAAACAGAATATTGTTCAGAGTGACGTTAAACTAGTCTCATTCAAAGCCAGTATGTCCTGGATCCCTTGAGGCTGTACTTAAGAATGTAGCCACGATTGGCTGCAATAGTGCTGATATGGCTTTTAACAATATTTACTCTCACTCACCAATGTTCATGTACATTTATGAAATGTGTATATATTGTGTCCACACACAGGAATCCAGCCTACGATGCTGTAGTGTGCTGTGCAGAATTGTCTCCCTTAGCTATGCCAGGATCAGCTGGATGCTGTTCAAATCCCAGATTATGATCCTTGGTCTTTCAGCACCATAAACCTGGGTTACCATGGTTACCTTAGAGTGGAAAGTGTCTGTGACATGCATCACTTTGGGCTGTGTCTGAATACATCTGGAATCGCATAGAAAATCTAACTAACTCGCTTACTCCAACCTACGCAGTTTAATCAGATTACTGTATTTGACTTGATGGTTTGCTCAATGTATAGTCAACGAGGGACATGTTAAACTGATACCTTAATTAAGCATCACTACAATATATTTCCATATAAAATAGTCAGTTATAAAAATCATATCTTGTATTAATGGTTTGATGAAATACATTTGTTTTGCTTTTCAAAGTCGAGTGACATGTAACTGATTCATTAGCAAGCATTAGTGGACCTTTTTCTGCATTTTTTCATATGACAATAGTTAATCTGTAATGGCTGGCAGATAGTGCCCTCCACATATGGGTGTTCTTTAACTTGTTTCGAGTAGTATATGATCCTTGGTCTAACATTTCCGCAGGTGTTAGAGGGTTCTTCAGTGAGGTCAAGGTCATATGTAGATATTTCCAAAAGACATGGAAGTTCAAAATATGTGAAAATATAGAATGGATGGTGCTTAACCTTTTTGCATGTGTATGATTGTACTTGTTTAATCGTAGCTGATACTGAAAGGTTAACACTATTTCAAATAGCTTCATAGACAATGCACATGAACATTACAGTGTTCTCTATGAAAAGAAATGAATTGACACATCTCATTAAATGAGATCTTTGTTCTCTATTGCTGGACATAGTGGTAGCGAGCACTAAAATCCAATTTTAATATGTTTAATAATTGACTGGCAAGGAAAAAATGTATGAACCAAACTTTTTTATGTTTTACTGCATGCTAAGTCTGATTCAGTTCTACATCTTCAAAAGTTTGTTTCCGTTCATCATTTGCATATTTTGATGCAGCCTGTCCCAAAGCCCATCACCGCCATTTATGAAATTGATTCAGGAAAGACTGTCAGATTGTGAAGCCCTGGAGTGGTGTTTTAATTTCATTTAGTACAATTGTGAATTGGAGTGGCTGGGAAAGAAAATAACAGAAAATAAAATTTTGCCTATTGCTGTCATGCCTACTCACTTTGTACAACATAATATGGGTGCTGGTTGAAATGGAATTACTTGTAATTCATCATATAAAGACAGTGTCCTGTGTTTTGGTCATGGGGAATTGACGTCTCAGTCTTTATCATGTTTTCTAAATCATTTATTCAATTTATCCACTTCTCAATGGAAGATCAAATCTGCTTATTTCTTTTTATGACTTTTAGCAGGTAATTCACACTTCAGAAAACTATCTTAAGAATACTTGTTTTGCACTGTTGTCTTGCCAAAACAATATCTTTCTTTTATTATGTAAAAATATTCTACACTAATTGAAAGTGAAATTCTTTCTTTAATGTATTCTTTTTATATTTTTCCAGTATTTTGTTCTGACCGGGGTATTGATCATGTTGATCTTCAGAATCATCTCCTCCCAGCCTTGTTAGGTCTAAGTTATGTTCTGTTTTAAAGCAGTGTTAATGAAAATCAGATCTTTTGCTCTGATATGATACTTCACTGTCAAGATCCCAGAACACCTCCATTGAAGGTCATGTAGGTGAAATTTCTAATGATCCAATCAGTGTCAAGGCTTCTAAGTTCTCGTTACGAGTGAGGTAAGCATTCAGGACTGCATATCTAACTTCACTATCTCAAAAACCAATATGATCAAGGAAATCTGAATGCAAAAGATTAGTGTTGTTAAATTGTGGATATTTTTTACAGCCTGTTGTTTGTGAGTGCCATGAGGTTTACTATGAAAAGTAGTTTTGTGTTCTGTGGCTGTTTTCTTTTGGCAGAAATCAAAATTTCTGAATCAAGGCGGTAAGGGAGTAAAGCTGAATTGTTTTAGAAAGCTTACATCTCATTGCCTCAAGAACTCACACACTTTGAATGGACAGTAAAGATCCGCTGAGGCTTCACCTGCTACACCTTCTACGAAAGTGTTCTCAGATCGTGACGCAGGCAGGTATCATATCAGAGTAAACTATATATTTATAATGAGATTGTGTTTAAAGAAAAAACTTTAACAGGCTTGGCTCTGACACGGCTGTGTGGATCAGGGCTCAGAGGAGGATTAATTGTTTTCATTTTAGCTTTGAGTTGACCATTACATGTAAATAGGATTACTGTTGTATATTTGTTTCGCCCTATAGAATGTGTCCTCATCCTGTTTGGTGCATTAAAGAATATAATCAAAGATGGGAGTGTTGAGTTGCTTTTATGAAGCGAGTGCTGGCAATACTGTGAGCCACTTTCATCCATTGCAAAGTTTGGTGTTCACTGATCATTCTGATGTTTCCCATTCAAAGTCACTTTCAAAGTACATATTGCTGCTGGAATTACTACTGGAATATTAGCGGACTACGTCTAGATGTTTGAACCCTGTTCTCATACTACATGCAAGGTCTACTGACCCTCAGCTGCACCTGGAGCTACATCGTAAGACAACATGGCCTCTTGCCGCTCTGGAGCAACGTCTTCAAAAATGGATGAGCTATCTCTCCTGGACCAACTTCTTCAGACATAGATCAGCACTTGTGTTATCTGGGCACACCTTGAGATACAGATGACCTGACTCCCAGCTTACTTATGGCCACAGTGAGCAATCTGCCAGCTATATTACAGTAGCCTGTGTAAAGGACTAGGCTAGGACTATAACTGACTGAAAACATCAACAATGATCCGCTTCATCAGGATACAATGACAAGCAATCAGTCCAGCCATTGTGTCTGCAACCTTATATCCACTGTATTATATCTTCATTTTATTATAAGGGGCGGTGGGGTAGCCTAGTGGTTAAAGCGTTCGCTCATCACGACGAAGACCCGGGTTAGATTCCTGACAAGCCCATTTGTGGTGTTCCCTGCTGCGATATTGCTGGAATATTGCTAAAAGCGGCATAGCATAAAACCTCACTCACTTATTTTATCATAAATGCCATGGACCCTTTCGCTATAATTACTTTGATAAGTTAGGTCATCACTAGACTTGCACAAGTCTCTAAGGCCATTATTATTATTTTAAATCATAATTCCTAGATTATGTAAATATTAAGAACCAGTTGTCTCTATAAAAGACTGGCGACTGTCTACTTATCTAGACTTGCCTATTGTAAGGATAGAATTACTACACATCCATGGAATTATCATTCAGTGCAGACTTGAAGCAAGGCTATGTCACCTCCATTGTTTGTATTTATGACTTGGCACAGAATTCCCCTCACTTGTAAGAGTGACTTGACTGGATGTCTTTTTTCAGCATTGTGACATTCAAACGGGGCTCATCACAAACATGGGCACCGATTGCGTCCATGGGTTCTAACTCGCTCAGCATGCTCACTTATTGAAATAAAAGGCGACTAACGGGATCAGGTGGTCAGGCTCGCTGACTTGGTTGATGCATGTCATCGATTCCAATTGCGTGGATCGATGTTCATGATGTAAATCACTGGATTGTCTGGGCCAGAGTTGGTTATTTACAGACCGCTGTCATATAGCTGGAATATTGCTGAGTGCGGCGTTAAACAACAAACAAACAAACAAACTCTTATTGAAGAACATATCCAGGAGGCAATCAGTATTCAAAATATAACATTTATTAAAAGGTAAACGGTCCTTAAAAAATGGAATGTATTGAAAAGAACCTGAAGTTCTTGCAGAAAACATTACTCTATCATATACAGAATCTCTATCATCAGGAAGTACAGATAAACCATGCCGTCTTGAAGTCTGGAGTTCGACACACCTCACCTCATTACATCTGACTGTGACATTTGACAGCAGAAAGAAATGTACCACATCGTGTGTATAATTTGAATAAAGTGCACAGACGCTTCAATGCAGATATGACAAATGTTTCTGTTTCTAACTTGTATTAAGTTGTCCTTTCCAAAACTTTAACTCTGGACTATAAATTGAGTTGGAGATAACCAGGAATTTAACACATTGTGGTTAAAATAGTGACAAATAAAGTAAGCGTTTGCCAGGACCAGGGTGTGAATTCGACACATCCTGGGATTCAACACACATGAGTTCAAGACAACAAGGTTTGACTGTACTTAAATCCCCTGTTGTAAAAATGCATCGCTTCAATGTCATGAAACTATAATATAATATAATACGATGCATCATGGGATATCTAACCCTGCATTTTGACACATGATGATATCCAACCACCACGTCATTCACTCACTCATTCACTATATGAACAGCATTATGTTCCACTCATTCAACATAAGATCAGCTAAACCATTCACCCATCCAACAAAGAGACATGAATACTAGAAACTGCTGTGTTGCAGCAGAACAACTGATTTGTGAGTACCCTACTATGTGTTAAAGGTTGTCAATAGTGTGGATGGATGCTCTTGATGTCAATCACTGGATTGTCTGGTCCAGATTTGATTATTAAAAGACCACTGTCACAAAAGAACAAACCAAAAAAAGATGTCCGCGAGTCAGTAAGCTGAGTATTTAACATTATCTAACATAGGTATTTTAAAATTCAAGATGAGCTTTCTCATTGCTCAACTGAAGGAATTTAGTGTGCATTCTATTGTACAGGTCGCAATTACTGGGTATTAACTTTTTAATGTTATTGACTTTATACAATAGTTCCTAAAAAATGTTCATCAATAAGATAAAAATAATGCCCTTCATATTTTAGAGTAATAACGAGCGCCTTTATGTACCTCCCTAAATTTCTAATCTGCAGCCATATTCCATTGATGACATACAGTCCTATGACGTAACACAAGTTTGCAATGGAGTGACAGCATCGTTAAGCAAAATTTGAATTAATTTAATTTTTTGATTGGTATATTAAGTGTTATATTTGACTTTAAGACTATGAATCATGTCTTCATTCCTAAATTCACGATAGGCTAACTTTAAATATGTCCAAAAACGACTCCTGATATACGGCAGTTCGAGCAGTGAACACAAAATCATACCAGCAGACACCCTTAATCATACACTCTGTATGCAACACAATCTAACACTTCAACATCTGAAACACAAGCCTAAGTCTCCGTCCCCACTTCACTCAAGAGTCGCACACATCACATAAAACATCACACCCCTCGCGAGGTCCACATCTCACATAAAACAAAGTCTACCAGCGTGGGTACTGAGGCAGGGCCCCCACACCCCTCGAGAGTCGCACACATCACATAAAACATCTCACCCCTCGCGAGGTCTACATCTCACATAAAACAAAGTCTACCAGCGTGGGTACTGAGGCAGGGCCCCCACACCCCTCGAGAGTCGCAAACATCACATAAAACATCACACCCCTCGCAAGGTCCACATCTCACATAAAACAAAGTCTACCAGCGTGGGTACTGAGGCAGGGCCCCCACACCCCTCGAGAGTCGCACACATCACATAAAACATCTCACCCCTCGTGAGGTCTACATCTCACATAAAACAAAGTCTACCAGCGTGGGTACTGAGGCAGGGCCCCCCCACCCCTCGAGAGTCGCACACATCTCACATAAAACAAAGTCTACCAGCGTGGGTACTGAGGCAGGGCCCCCACACACCTCCAGCATTGCACACATCACATAAAACATCACACCCTTCGCGAGGTCCACATCTCACATAAAACAAAGTCTACCAGCGTGGGTACTGAGGCAGGGCCCCCACACCCTCGAGAGTCGCACACATCACATAAAACATCTCACCCCTCGTGAGGTCTACATCTCACATAAAACAAAGTCTACCAGCGTGGGTACTGAGGCAGGGCCCCCCCACCCCTCGAGAGTCGCACACATCTCACATAAAACAAAGTCTACCAGCGTGGGTACTGAGGCAGGGCCCCCACACACCTCCAGCATTGCACACATCACATAAAACATCACACCCTTCGCGAGGTCCACATCTCACATAAAACAAAGTCTACCAGCGTGGGTACTGAGGCAGGGCCCCCACACCCTCGAGAGTCGCACACATCACATAAAACATCTCACCCTTCGCGAGGTCCACATCTCACATAAAACAAACTCTACCAGCGTGGGTACTGAGGCAGAGCGCCCCACATCCACTGCCTGATCTTGTTCGCTTCTGTTGTGTTGCTGTAGTCCACAGAGTCAGCGTTCCATATCCCAACACCGCGTAGGCCAAGTGTCTCAGCCATGTGACTCTTGAAGGCGATACTCTCCGGGTCGTCATAGTGGTACTGGTACATGATCCCAGTGGACGGATCCTAGGGTAGAACATCACAGATGAAATTCAATGTCGACAATTGTACATGCACCATGACAAATGTAGTGATAGCTGCAGTAACCATATCTCTTTGTTGTTCCCCTTAACGATTTTCATTATGACAATATATACTCATATTTCAAGGCAAGTGTCTTTGGATTGTTTGTTTGTGTATTGTTTAGGGCCACACTCAGCAATATTCCAGCTATATGACGGCGGTCTGTAAATAATTGAGACTGGACCAGACAATCCAGTAATAGACATCATAAGCAACTGGGATACGACATGCATCAATAAAGTCAGTCTGCCTGACCAACCTATCCTGTTAGTCGCCTCTTACGGCAAGCATAGTCACCTTATAAATCAAGCACAGTTGTCTATTACGGCAAGCATAGTCGTCTCTTACGACAAGCATAGTCTTCTCTTACGACAAGCATAGTCGTCTCTTATGACAAGCATAGTCATTTCTTATGACAAGCATAGTCGCCTCTTATGACAGGCATAGTTGCCTCTTATGACAAGCATAGTCGCTCTTATGACAAGCATAGTCACTCTTATGACAAGCATAGTCGCCTCTTCTGACAAGCATAGTCGTCTCATGACAAGCATGGTTGCCTCTTATGACATGCATAGTTGCCTCTTACGACAAGCATAATCGCCTCTTATGACAAGAATAGTCGCCTCTTACGACAAGCATAGTCGCCTCTTGCGGCAAGCACATTTGCTGAAGTGTTTTTGTAAGTGCATCATGTTGCACTTGTCTTTAGATAGATGCATGCACTTCACTGAAGCATATAAAGTGCAATGCAGATAAGGATCGGGGATCTATTAGGAAAACACTATAGAACAGTCCGTAGATCAGTGTAGAGACAAGTCTATATCAAAATCGTTTGTTGGAGTCAGCACAGACATACGGTTACCAAATCTAATATAGTGAGTGAGTTTTGTTTAGCATATTAACGTATATCGTGGTGTGTAAGCTTGATGTGGAAAGCTCGAAGGAATACGGGTCTATGTGTACCACTTTGGTGGAAACCACAAATGGCGCTGACAAACCTGGAAATATTATTGGGGCAAATCCGGGATTCGAACCCGAGTTTCAGGCACACCAAACAGACAAATGTGCATGGCAAATTGTAGCAACAGAGGCAACTAGATGACCCATGTCCCCACAACAATTTTAGGGCGGTTGGGTGGTCAAGTGGTTAAGCGTTAGCTTGTCGAGCCACGATCCAGGTTTGATGCCCCACATGACTGTTGAGGCAAGGCGATGTGAGGCAATGTTAACCTCAAGATTATTGCACTTATATAGCAATGTGCAATAATGAATTTGACCATGCGGGCGTGTGTGTCTTTGTCTCAGTTTTGTGAGGAATTACTAAACACTCTTAGGACAAAATGGCCTTGAAATTAATCCTATGTCAAACTTATATCCATAAAAATAAAAATAAACTAATTTATAAACAATTGCTATCACCACCGAACTAGGTTGACACCTAACTTTGATAAATAGTAATTATAGTTCTGCTTCTTTTTGTCTGGAAGCACCTTTTACCTTTAAATATAAAATGCCTTTTCCTTTTTGGAGGAAGACAATGCACATATAAAACCTACCCACAAAAAACCTCTATGATATCATTGCCAAAACTCCTGAATTTTGGCTGTCATAACACTATAAAAAATCTTCACATTTAACTATCCACAATTAGTTGTGCAAGTAATAGTATCTTGTTGCCCTGGACTGTACATTATAGGTGGAAGACGATGTATACATATCTTTACCATACCTGAGATAACTGTGTATATGTACCTTGTAATTGAAGTGTGGTGTTCGAGTTACATTGTCCCAGATCCTAATGGCCCCGGAGCTCTGTAGGAGGGGGTAGACTATGCTGAAGTCTCGCTGTGTGCCTGCAGCGTCACTACAGTTCACCCCTCGGAACGGAACATGCTTGATGAAACACTTGTCATCCTGAAGTAAAATATGTTGATGCTGTAAGTGAGTAACCTGCTTTTTTGGTTGGTTGCAGTCAGGTGGTCTCAGTTCCCCGAAATATAATATAAACCACTGGAAATACAACAAAAGAAGAAAAAAATCTTCTACTTAAAAAATTTAGTAGATCTGTTTCTTAGCTTCAGCTTCATGGACAATTATTTGTTTGTTTTGCTTGTTTGCTCAGCAATATTCCAGCTGTATGAAGGCAGTCTGAAAATAATCAAGTCTCAACCAGATGCTTCAGAGTTTGATTTTATGAATGACGATCAACACCGTACGAGTATGATAACAAGCTACAACCAAGTCACTGAGCTGGACCACTTGATCACATTTCCATTTGCTAAAATGACAACAATGGTGTTTTCAATAACTTTCTAAGCATGTACAACTGTTCCTGCATCCCACACTATCGGTGGGGGCACGGGTGGCCCAGTCGTCTAAGGCGCCGCAATTCGCTGTACAGAATTGCGTCCCTTGGGCATGCTAGAAACCTATGATTGTGGGTTCGAATCCCAGTTCGCCCCAATTATGTTTCTAGGTTTGTCAGCACAATACCTGTGCTCATGGGTTTCACAAAAGAGGTAAACGTCTGAGACCTTCATCACTTCAGGCTTTCCTCCCACATTCAGCTGACACGCCGTGATATAACTGTAATACTGTTAAAAGTGGCGGTAAACCCAACTCACTCACTCACTAACACTATCGGTGCCCTTGTCAACCAACAACAAGTAGACACACAGGAGATGAGAAAGTAGAAAACACTTTCAGGACAACACGATCTTGAAATCAATTCTATGTCAAATTTGTCTCCATAAAAATGATTAAAATCTTCATCTGTGCAAAACCGTGACAAACATCAGTCATAATGGTTCTGGTTCAGGAACAAACCTCATTTAAGTTAATTTAAACATGCTTCAAAGAAAATGACAACAAATTAAACCATCAAAATCTCCAAAGAATCGCATACGATGAAAGGACCTAAGAAAATAATGAATAGTTCAGCTCAATACATCCTTGTACTTTAAGTGCGTTGTTGTCTGAAAGCCCTGATTACCTGTGTAAGCTGAAGACACGGGTAGCGGTAGCCATACCATGGCATCCCAAGAACCAGGCGTGATGCAGGGATCTCCTCAAATTTCAGGAAACCCTGTAAACCTGAAACACAAGCAGATGAAAATACAAACTGCAGGCACTAGTGGTGTAAGGGAGGTAACTCTGTTGGGTAACGCGTGAGGTGTGTCACATGAATGGAACTTCACGTGTATTGTAACACATGTGCTCGCCAGGGTCAGCCATCTTTAATGCTATGCACAACTAACAACTGTCATATGACGGATACAACACAAACGATTCTGAAAGTCTGTGACCACACAATTTTACTCAAGAGTTGAGTAGCATAGTGGTTAAAGAGTTCGCTTGTCACGTTGAAGACATGGAATCGATTCCCTGTGTGAAGCCCATTTCTGGTGTCCCCCCAGCCAACCCCACACCTCCCTATGTCATACTGCTGGAATAATGTTAAAAGTGGGGTAAAACCATATTCACTCACAACTCAAGTCATAAGGCTTGCTGTCATTTGTGGTCAAGTAACTGAGTCATGCATATCGCGTCTCTTCTGCATCTGATATTAATCAAGCAGCCCTACATGATGTTAATCAATCCACCTCTTAGTGCTGACCTGTGACCTTTGTTACCATCCCGGCATCATTGCTGTCACCAATGGGCAAGCGGCCATTACAAAAATCTTGAAATTTGCCTTCTAACCCCAAATATAGTGACATGTATGTTTTTGTGTATGTGTTTGGAATACCATTCTAGTGAAATGGGAAATGGTTTTTCTTGTAATTACAAATTTACGTTTGTTTGTTTAATCAGAAGGCAGACGGAAAAGCAGACAACTTCCCCTTGAATTCTCACTAAACTCATTATATGATAGATGAAATAAAGTAGAAATTCAAGTTGACAAACAAAATAATTTAGCTTGGGCAAGAGTATTCGGTTTCACGGCAGTCATCACTTGATTGTACATAACAGTCAGTCGGTTGCAAGTTCAACTCCAAGCATGGCTGTGGCCACCAAGCACAGTGGGGTGTTGTGACTGGTGGTGACTGGTAGAATAGAGAACTATGCAAACAGGCTATCACTGTGAGGAGCTTGGCCCAAACCAGGCAAAGGGAGATAACTCTAATAATCCCAAATTGCTGTCACCATCTTCATTTGTATCAATTTTTGCCATGATTATGATCCTTGGGCTCACAATCATCATAATACCCCTGTTAATGTTTCACCAGAGTGAAACACGTCTATGACCTTCATGGCTTTGGGCTTTCCTCCCACATCAAGCTCACACACTGTGGCATAACAGAAATAATGTTTGAAGCAATGATAAATCCCAACTCACTCACTCATCTATCTTCACCTGCAGTTTACCTGTCAATGTTTTCTGATAGCCGGAGTTGGCCTTGGCGATACATTCTCCCTGAATCTGGCTTTGTTCATCATAAGACATGACAAATAGAAAGTCGGTGTACTGGGCCAGGCCTTTGTAGTCATAACAACGCTGGTCGATGCACGCTGGGCTCCATGCCACGTCCACTGTTACCTGGCAACAAAGCCTTCATAGTAATTTTTTGATGAAGGCAGGTTGGTGAAAAAACGCTTATTATTCTTCTGTCAATGACATATGGACAATCTCACCTGAGTGTCTTCTGATATAAAATATATCAACACAAGTTGATAAAAGTTTAAAATAAAACACGAAGGCTTTTTGATATATTTGATGTCAAAAGACGAGAGTGACATCCAAAATCATTCTTCAAACTTTTTCAGTTTGTAAGTTTCCAGTAATAACCAAAGCCCTGTTCCACAAAGCCATCTTAGCGCTAAGGTGATCGTAACTCCCATGCTTTAACACTGGCTTACGAAAAGTCGTAGTGCTAAGATCGCTTCATGGAACACTGCCCAGTGTCTTGAGTGTAAAAAGTACAGCTAACCAGTTTCAGTGGCAGAGATTAGTGATGTCATTTGATTGTGATGTCATGGTAACTGATGATGTCATAATGGTCTGCAAAGCATTGTGATGTAATTTATTCCACTGATATCTCCCAGAGCACTTGATCTCCCCAAAGTGATATCTCCTGTGGAAGCTAGTTTTGGATAAGTCTGACTAACTCTGCACCAAATTTCACAAAGCAATATTGAGATGAGTGTCAGAATGCAAATAATATAGTGGTTGCAAAGGTAAAATCATTCCAGCGTCAATTGTTCACAAGTGTTGTATACACCATGTTCCTCCATCACACATGAGTACATTGGGCTACCTTGAAGGGTGATCACTACTTCTAACAAGGCTCCAGGACCTGTGAAGATCTGGGTTAGAATAGGTCTTCAGCAACCCATGCTTGTCGTAAGAAGCGCTAACGGGATCGGGTGGTCAGGCTCACTGACTTGGTTGATGCATGTCATCGTATACCAATTGTGTGGATAGATGTTCATGATGTCAATCACTGGATAGTCTGGTCCAGACTCGATTATTTACAGACCGCCATCATATAGCTAGAATATTGCAGAGTGCGGTGTTAAACAACAAACAAACCGAACCAAGACTCTGGATACTTGTTTGAGCCATGTGAGTATGTACTTGCTTTTATCATTCACATTTGGTAACCGCCTCTGTGGTCTAGTGGTAGAGCATCCACCCAGAGAGCGGAAAGTCCGGGGTTCGATCCCCGGCCGCGACATACCAAAAGACGTTAAAGATGGTACTTGTTGTTTCCCTGTCTGGCGCTCGGCATTAAGGGTCTAAAACAAGGACTGGTCGGCTCGGAGTCAGTAAACTGTGTCTGAGTGGGGTATTCATGTTAAACTGCGGCATGGTATCTCAGTGAGCTAGCACTATAAATCGGCATTAGTCCGGACTGGTACAAGCAGCCACACAAACACACACACGTACATGCATCAGTAAATGGACATTTTTTAAATACTCCAGCTGTTTCAGGTGACTTCTAATTTGTATCTCTTTGTGTGCTGCCCCACGTGTGTAACATGCTGAATAAACTCAGCAATCTACATGTCTAATCAACAATCATCTTCCTGAGGCAAGGGAGTTAACTGACTATAAAAGTCCAGTTTCCACCCTTGCCAAACTAGGCTGGAATTATGGAGTTCTAGTTTGGCTGGACTAACGAGTATATGCAAAGTCCAATCAAAATCATGTAACGAAATAGATATCTGGTTCATAAACTACATGATTTCAGTCAATTGCAGGATTTTTCAGGATCATAACGTGATTTGATGCACTATGTAAAATAAGACGATATAGATTTGGATTATTGATCAGATTGTCTTGACTGGGCGCCGCCATTTTGTTTGAAGCAAATGCATGTGGTACGAGGTGGAATCTGATTGGTCACTAGGAGGGACATAGAAGGGACATAACTTGTAATAGCCACTAGTGGCACTACAATGGAACCCACATATTCTAGCCTAGTTCGGCAAGGGTGGAATCTGTACTTTTATAGTCAGTTAACTCCCTTGCCTCAGAAGATGATCAACAAAGAGCAATAGCTCAATTTTATGCATCATTCACTACAGTAGAGTTTATGTGTGTGTGATGCCAGCACTTGATCTCTAAAGAAATAAATGTACGCAAGCTGAAAAGGCTATGTTGGGTAAATCCTCTTATAGCCAGCAGTAGACACGGTGTGCCGGGGACCTATGCTAGCCTGGGCCTCTATGGGGTCCTGGACAGTTCAACAAGCAATACCTGTGAGTATGGCAAGGCTGATTTGAAGGCTTGGTACGTCTCATTGACAAGGCTGGTGTAGCCGTCACGGACGTCCACCTGGTCCTTGCGTATAGGACTCTCGAAGTCGATGTTGATGCCGTCTAGGTTGTTGTCTCGGACAGTGGCCAGCTGCTGACTGACCCATGCTTGTCTTTTGCTGGCATTGGTGAGGTCTGCGGTTGGGTAGTTGGCTGTCAACATAACAAAACAAATCAATATCACAGTGCTTTATCTAGACCTGCTCAGTGGGCGATATTCGGCCCCAAGTCTGCAGCTAATGTCAGTCCAAATTCCAACATTGGAAATTGTAGCTATAACTATAACCAAAGACGTATATACGTCTATGTTATAACCGATGTCATGGCTTTGTAGAGCTGACTTGCATTTCACTTATAACAGGACCAATAAGGAGGATTGAAGGCTTAAGTGCTTAGTTTTCACTATGGCATTGAAAACAATGTTAAAATACGTAGTAATTTGAGAAGATAAGAATGTTAACAAAAATCCCAGTTTAGACAAAATACATGAGTTTTACCCCAATTTTTCTGCAAAGGGCACCTGGTTTGGAAACCCAAACAATTGAAATTATTGTCAGAGCTTCCGGGGAACAAATACATATTATTGTCCCATGTACTGCTTCAATCTTCAACCCTAGATGCTAAAATCAACTCAGTCTATCATGTCTATACTGAAGAAGTACATAAACTCTTTTGGAAAGATTTAAATAATAATCCATTTTTTCATAAAAGTGGCCCAGTTTTTTGCCAATCAGAAACATTCTGAATGATTCAGCTAAATGTACAGTGGACACCTGCCAGTTTTGGATTTCTAACACACAAAGTAGACACAATTTATGGGCTTCTCAACTTGTCAAGCAACGTTATAAGGATCTATACCAAAACATCGCCATTACAGTAAAATAAAGAAGTTGTTATCCATAAATCGTGTCTACATGGTCATTCGTCAACTTTGAAGAAATGCTTAATAAACAACAAAAGGTTAAAAGGAATGTATCATACACTTCTGTCTGTCAGCTTAACAATGTGTGCAGTCCTCTGTCTGAACATAACAATAAAAAAATAATAAATAATAACTGATTGGAGTTTGTAATGGGATGTCCTCAGATCTGTGTAGCGTAAGCGAGAATTATGATCAGATTTTAAAGAAATTGACTCCTGCATCTTGGCATATTAGCCAGGACAAATTGTAAAACATGACCCGATATGGGTACAATGTGTGAAGCCCATTTCTGGTGTCCCCTGCTGTGATATTGCTGGAATATTGCTAAAAGCGGTGTAAAACCATACTCACTCACTGTAAAACATGAAATGAAATTGGACTGGTCTTAAAAGTTAAACTTAAAAAGAGCAGCTACGAACCTATGATGACGACTCTGGCATTCTGCTGGTGGGCGAAGCACATGAGGTCTGGGCTGACATAGCCCACCATGACCACCGTGGTGGCCCTTGTCCAGTCGAACCTGCTCCAGCTGCCCGCCTCGTCATGCAGGGAAAACATGAACACCTGAAACAATGTTTGTTGTTGTTGTTAAACCGCACTCAGTGGGATGACAGCGGCCTGTAAGTAATGAAGTCTGGACCAGACAATCCACTGAATCCAGGGATTGACATTATGAGCATCGATCTATACGCAAGGAGACCCTGCAACACAGCTGTCGCTTTAAGAATGCAAAACCTGACGAATCAAGAGGAAATACAGTTGTGCAATAACTACCCGGACGTTTTCGGACGCCCCTGGGCGTTATTTAGTGGGACCGCCACAAGTTGATGCAGACACACAGTAACAATTAGTGTTGAATCAACTCAGTGAGTTACTCACCTCTTTACGCGTGTTGTTAGTGATCGGTTTACACCATTTTTCGTCGCTGCACGGACACCTGCTGCTGACTGTCGACATCAACATGAACGACACCACGGCATAGACAACACAACGTCCCATCGTCTCAGATTCTAGTTCCTGGGCGAGCGCACTTTCCTTCCCGTACCTCTGAAAACATTGTCACGTGATCTGGTGTAAACTCTTGTCATGTGACTTGGGTCAGCTGACTGGAAATGCAGGTATTAATTACACACATCAAGGTTGTGGGCTGTGGCCTGTTATTTTAATCTCTCGCTAAAACACACGAAGATATTTTTTTCAATTTACAGTTTCTACAATTCAAATAAGAAAGACAATTTGAACGGGTCTTTGGCACAGGTGATGTTTTACTGACAATGTCAATAACACATGAGTATTTCTCACGTGTGTAATAATTTCGCATGTTCTTATCGTTTTTCACAGTCAACCGTTTTATTTTAAATAGGAAAATGATCAACAGGCACATAAATCACCAGCATATTCTATCTTCTGTATTTCATGTAATGAACACTTTTCGAAAGATAAATGGACAGTGTTTTTAACACTTTATCATTTAACTTAAGCATTTATCCATGACATAAGCTTATGACATAAAAACATGTATGTCATACCCCAATGACATAAGTATGCAAATTAGAGATACAAATTATATAACCGGAAGAGCGAGCGGTTTGATTTGAAACTATATATTATAAGTGAAGTTACACCAGAGATATAATCAGATTACTCAGAATCGTTGTTGTTACCGTTATTAAAGTTTCAATTATTCTGCAAAAGTCTGTTCAAGTATTTTGTTTAAAATAATCCGAGGAACTTTTTTTCTCAGCGAATTGTTTATTTTGGTTTACATGGCTATGGAAAACATGTATCACTACGCACGATCTATACGTAAGATTTCGACAAGTTGCTGATGTTAATGTTTAATGCAATTATTGCTTAATTGTGAAGCAAAAATGTGAAAATTATAAATAGAATTCATCACGAGTGTTTTTTAATATGGGAAATATCAACCTCGTCCCGTTAATCGGTATTTGCCTCGCCAAAGGCTCGGCAAATACCGATTAACTAAGACTCGGTTGATATTTCCCATATTAAAAAACACTCGTGATGAATCCTCTATATATATGACGTCAGGGAATCTGTTGAAACAGCTGAAACCGTAGCAGAAATGCCGTCATTCTATTCAACACTCTTCTGTCTTTTTTCTATAGAGAGGGAGTGGTTGGGTAGCCTTGTGGTTAAAAGGTTCGCTCGTCACACTGATTAAAGGTTCGAGTTCCCACATGGGTATTCTGTGTAAAGACCATTTCTCGTGTCCTCCGCAGTGATATAGAATGCTGGAATATTGCTAAAAGCGGCGTAAAACCATACTCACTCACTTTACACAGAGGGGTGTTTGACATATAGTCAAAAACATTGCATATGTTCCTTGCTGTGTCAACACCCGACTTATTGAATGCGTGGATTTCACCAGTGTTGTAAATAGCCTTGTGGTTAAAAGGTTCGCTCGTCATAAAGTCCAAGGTTCGAGTCCCCACATGGGCTCACGTACTCGCGTCTCATGTAATTAGTCCCCACACACTCCTCAGCATTACCTGTCTCACAGTCCCTAAAAAATATTATTTTCCCTTCCACCCAAACCTTACTTTAATGCTACAAATAGCCCTAAAGGAAGCAAGTCTAGATTTTCCACGGGTTCAGAATAAATCTAATCGCCGTCACCTATGAGCGCTTATTAACTCTGTTGGCTTCCATTTGTCCATTGCTAATCACCTATCAGCACCAATTATCTCTTGGCTTCCCTTGTTAAGTTTCCACTTTTGTTCTCTTATTACTTTTCTGGTTCTTGCAGGAACATATATATGTTCTGTTGTATAGCATTTATTCACCCGATGAAGGAGTAAGTATTACTCCGAAACTTTGTGTTACGAGTACTAAGAATAAAGAAGTTGACATCCATAAATTCTCTTCCGTATGATTTGCGGTGTGTGTAAACTTCACAGACATATTAAATTTGCATTCTGAACTGGTAAAAAAAACTGCTTCTGATTAACAATACATGCACTACTGACCGTGACAAATGGCATAATGTTAAAGTGTTGCCAGAACCGTCCTTGTCTTTGCATCATCCTCGGTTATACTGTGCATAATATCTCCTTTCTATTACGATAAATACCCTGGACCCATTCGCCACCATTGCTTTAAGCTCAATATCGACCAAATCAAATTGCACTCATTGGCGAGAGCATTTCTGTGCAAATTTAAATGAAGATGGTGACGTCACTTCCGAAACGAAGCATCTTTGGCGAATAGGCCTGGGATATTATTTACGTTCAATTATATATATTATGCTTCAATTTCATATCAAGCTTTTGCCCGACGTTTATATTATACGGGTATTCGTGTGATCGAAATATGAAGCGGAAGTAGTCACGTAAAAGTTCACTATCAGTCAGAATAACTGAAATTCAGAAACACGTGCACAGATATGTTTTACCCCTGGGTAATAAAATAGAATATTACACCGGATAATCGAGGATGGTGTTGTGCGCCAACGTTATCTCCGGTCACGTTATTTATAACTGGCGGCTCAAAGTCACACCCATCTGTTGAACCTAGAATGAATGTGTGAGCATGGATTTACACCACTTTAAGCAACGTTCCAGCAATATCAGGGCGGGGAACACCAGAAATTGGCTTCACACATTGTACCCATGTGGGGAATCAAACCCGACTTTTCGGCGTGACGAGCAAACGCTTTAACCACTGGGCTACCCCACCAACCCAGTTAAACCTGAAGATTTGGCATTTGAGAGAAGACAATTTCTCGGACTGTGCAGTAGATTCTATACAGACAATAGTTTCGAGGTCTTTGTGCAGGATGACGAACGAAATTAGAATTCCTTTGTTCAGCCTTAAACAGTTTTATTCAACATAATATAAATTTTACAAATTAAAACATAAACATCTTGAAAACCTATAACATGTAAATAAGCACCATTTTTAGATATGTATTTATAAATTTAATAATATATAATATGTATAATATAAATAAAAAACAGTAGAACCATACCAATAAGATGGACAATTCAAAACATAACGTTTCATTTTTTCATACATTTCTATCAAATATTCGTAAACATTGACGCACAAATGTGTTGAAAGTTGGAGGGGGGAGCACTATAAGGAACAGCTATGCTCGAGTATTGTCAGTAGGAGGGACAATATAAGTTGATGAAGCAGTACTTTCTGCAAGTAAAATAATGTACTTCACACCAACCGCATTGGATATCATTTTGGATGAAGGAAGAGGAACCACATTAGCTGGCTATTGAAATTTGTTGTATATAATGACTGGCTACTGACAACGGGAGAACCTTGGCTTTCTTTCTGTACGGAAGGTGAGCTACACGCACGTAAGGACAGGGCTATACTTGTAGGTTTGTGTGAAGCTAGACGACGGGGGGAGCTGGGGTTGTGGCCATCATTGTATTGAACGGTGGAGGAGGGTGGTTTTGAGGGAATTGGAAGATGTGTGAGTGACTTGTATTCCTCTTTATCCATGTCACACCCTGTCTGTCCATCCTCTTTATTCATGGCGCCTCCTACTGTTAACAGAGCTTCTCGATGTCCGCCCACTCTCCTGTTTGGCCTGGTGATCGAGTGAGACACTGCCGACAGACGATGTTCCATGGATTGGCGGGAAAACAAGTGGAATCCTGCTGCGTCGTCTGCTGGGAGCACCTTCACGTGGGCCTGATGGTGGAGTGGGGCAGAAGCTTGACCCCAGAGACGGCAAACGGGTTGGGGAGAAACTAGTACCTCCCTTCTTCTCTGATGAAGCGGTCTGCCTGGAAGAGATGAGTACCTTGTGTAGATACTTCTGTTACACGCGCAGAGCTTGGACTACTAACCACGCCTCTGCTTATGTGATTGTTATGACGTCATGTCACGTGATACATAGTTGTTGCGGAAGTAGACACACTCGGGTTGGAGAGTTACCTCCCTTCTCCTCTGATGAAGCGGTCTGCTTGGAAGAGATGACTACCTTGTTGTTGTCTGTGATTGGCGGCAGAGCTGTCGTCTGCACATCTCTAGCTTTTCCCGTGTACGGCCGTCTTCGCTTGTGACCTTCACCCGGAGAAGGTGGCACCCTAGGGATCATTGCTGCCCTAGCCTCCTCGTTTACACGCATGTGTCGATCCGCATCTAAGTTTTGGGTCTTGAATTTGTGGTTTTCTCTCTCAAGGCCAGTAATGGGAGACACCGCCCCAATTTGCTCGCTAGGTGGCGCAAATGTACTAGTGGTTATAAGTCACAACCGGAAGTCAGCTTTCAAAGTGGCTCGTATCGAAGATTCACTCGACCGTTATCAGCTATGCCAAGATACTGCTCTGTTCCGGGTTGTAAAAATAAGATTGGAGGACATAAATACCCTTCAGACCCCGACCTGCAACAAAAGTGGCGCGTGGCGGTAAGAAGAGTTGATGTTCCAACAAAGAATCTGTGGAAGCCAGGGACAGGCGACGTAGTCTGTAGGGCTCACTTCACTGATGATGATTTCGTGGATACACTATTAGGTTCGTAAAAACAGTATTATTTTGTCTGTTGAGAATGATAAATAATTATTTGTGCATGGTTTTCTTACTGTTTTTTTTGTATGTTGGCAAAGAAAAGCGCAAAAGCAGAATATATTAGCCTATAACAAATATCGAATAGCCAATATCCTCATGATACTGGTAACTTGGCCCTGTTTATCAGCTGTTCATTCACAGACCCAAACATTAATGAATAGGCCTAAACATTTGATTGTATATTTATTTATGTATGTTATTATGTAAACAATCTTTCTTTTATTAACTATAACAACGAAGTAAATTTATTCATAGACAAAAATATACATGTCAAAATGTGATTTATTAATATTGAATAGCCAATATCCTCATGCTACTGTTCAACAGCTGTTTGATTCACAGACCCATTTACCTTAGTAAATATGATTAAGTTTCTGCTTGCATAAAGCAATGTAAAGATATTTCTATAATCAGAGCTCCAGATAACTTTTTTTGAGCAAATGAGTTTTTACATTTTTAAATGTGTTATAAGTATAACATTTTTCATAGGGTAACCAATATTATTTCAATCATCCATTCATGACTCTATTCGGATTTTCCCAAAATTAGTGAACATTTATCATTAGATGTATATAACTGTACTTAATATATAGGCTTATCTCTACATTGGGTATTAACTAGTGCTGTTTTCATACATTTGAGTTTTTCCTTAAATGCATGCGTTTTTGTACACAAGATAATCAGTGTGTAATTGGGTTTTTAATATTTTACACAAATGTGCAGCTTATCTGTAGCTCTGTATACATGGTATAGCGTACACACACATTTTGATAATGAATATCATAAAAAACAACCATGAATGTGTCTTCATCTTGTGTATTGTTGATTTATGCCATGTTTGCAAGTGAATTTAGATATTATTATTTTGGTTGATTCCTTGTTAATGTTTGTTCTTGTTGCTTTGTGTTAAATTCCTGTTTTTAAGGAGCCATACAAACGATGACAAGCCTGAAGCTTCCGACAGAAGAATTACTCAACGAGGCCTGGGAAACTCAGTTTTGTACAATTTTCTATTATTGGTAAACTCTATAAGTAAATCACTAGAGGAATTTGAGGTCGTTCGACATGTAACATTACTTCATTGTTGTTATATTTTCACCTGCATTTTCATATAATTAATAAGACTTATAAAAAATTAAAAGCTACTTGCTTATCTTCTTAATTCTTAAGAGGAAAATCACCTCAATATGCATTTGTTTTCATTTCAATCAATTGAAACCTTTCATTTTTCTGTAACTTACGTTAAGTGTATTTAACATAAGGTGAACGAAGTCGTCTCCGGGCAGCTGCGGTTCCCTCCATCTTCCCACATACATCATGCACCAGTACATCAGCACTACCAACTCGACCAAAGAGGGCACATCAACTCCGTGAAGAAGAAGCCAACATAGCTATATTGAATGTGTCGTCGGAGGTGGAAATCGGTATTGGAGAGGATTGTGCTATCACAAGCCCAAGTAGCTTGAATGAGCCTCTTGAAACATGTCAAAGTGACTCTCAGTCTACTCAGTGCAGTTTGTTAGGAAGTTGTTCCATAGAAACCTACATAAATAATCCCAAAGCTGTTTTGTACTTTGCTGGTTTCCAAGATTATGACCATTTCATGTTTTTCTTTCACTCGCTTGGTCCAGCAGTTTTTGAACTGAACTATCAATGTGAACTCTTGCACCCAAAAGACCAACTGTTTTTGACTCTAATGAAATTAAGACAGGCCAAGGATGACATTGAATTAAGTTTCTTGTTTGGCATATCATCATCCACTGTTTCCCAAATTGTAATAACATGGATCAATTTCTTATATTTCCAACTGAAGGAACTACAGATATGGCCATCAAGAGCAACTGTTGATGATCACATGCCAACAGATTTCGGTAAGAAGTTTAAAAACACTAGAGTCATTTTGGATGCAACAGAGATACCAATAAAGAAGCCATCTCATGTTGATGCTCAGAGCATGACATGGTCCAGCTATAAACATCAAAACACATTGAAAACCATGATCGGTTGCACACCCAGGGGGGCAGTCTCATTTATTAGTGAATCTTTTGGGGGGTCTGCAAGTGACAGACAGATCATAGAACAGTCTCCTTTACTTAACCCATCACATGGTATGTTTGAAAAACAGGATAGCATTATGGCTGACAGGGGCATTATGGTTCAAGACTTATTTGCAGCCCAAGATGTTCAAGTAAACACCCCAACTATGTTAAAAGGCAAGTCACAGTTAGAACCAGAAGATGTTGTTAAGGATAGAAGAATTGCTTCTAAAAGAATCCATGTTGAACGTATAATTGGTCTGAGTAAAACTTTCAAAATTCTGAAAAAACATCTCCCACCAAGTAAAGTAGTACTTGGATCGCGGATTGTTTATGTTTGTTTTGCTATTTCAAATTTCAGAAATTCCATTGTAAATGAATTTGCTTGAAGCATCTCTTCTTTGTGATATCTGTGACTGAAATTTGTAGTAGTAGTAGAATTTTATTCAGTAGTGTGAGTGATTGAGAATTGTTTTACACCGCTTTTAGCAATATTCCAGCAATATCATGGCGGAGGACACCAGAAATGAGCTTCACCCATGTTACCCATGTCGGGAATTGAACCCAGGTCTTCGGCGTGACGAGCAAACACTTTAGCCATAAGGCCAACCCACTGCCTTATACAGTGGTAATATTATCGGTATGGTCACATGGCCTATAGTACAGTTTTTCGTAATAATAAGTGGTCATGTGAGAGCTCGTAATTTGAAAACATGTTTCATATACAGAGCAACAGATTTAAGGAGATGTACAGTTCTTGTATTTAGCTTATTGACCATTGAATGAGTGTTGTTAAAGCTATGAAAAGGTAATTTTAATCACAGAGTACCTTGGGCATATGAACCTAATATGATACTCATCTTCAACAAAATCTAAATGACAGTAGACCCGGGAAGATTCCGGGGTAGAATCGGTCTTCAGCAACCCATACTGCCGTAAAAGGCGACTAACGGGATCGGGTGGTCAGGCTCGCTCACTTGGTTGATGCATGTCATCTATCCCAATTGCGTGGATTGATGCTCATGATGTCAATCACTGGATTGTCTGATCCAGACTCGATGATTTACAGACCGCTGTCATATAGCTGGAATATTGCTGATTGCGGCGTAAAACAACAAACAAACAAACTAAATGACAATATGTATATAAAGTATTAAAGTTACCTACATTTTCACATTTATGGAGCTGAACTGAATTCATTAAGGCTTTAAAATGTGACTTGTGGTGTTGAAAATTCAATTTGTAAGGTAAAGTCTTACAATACCTAATATGATGTACATAATCAATACTATTGACAATCACTTGTGTGATATATATAGTCCTACATTGTCTGAAAATTACTTCATTATTTGCACCAACATTTTTCAAAGGTTGAATCATTTCAATTAAACATATGTCATTTTCAGTCAAAGAGACCGTTTTTAACAGCGATGGGCTCACAATATTTCAGTTATTAGAGGCTTATCCCACTGAAAACATTCATACAAGGCTAACCTTACATTTGTACTGGCTTCTGGCTTTCAACTGAGTGTGAAAATCTCCCCACGACCCAAAAAGTGTATGGAGTGTAACTTGTGTAACACACGCATGTCATATTAAAATGTGAATCTCTCATGTGTCAAAGAAATTGCTTCTTTTCATTAGTTATTTATGCATATGGTAAGCTTTGAAATGAAAGATAACGGCGACATGCTGTCATTTTGTTTGGTGGTATTACCATATTTAGTCAAACAATTGATTGACAAACCAAAACCACAATATTTTAACTTTGCCAATGACTTGTAATAGTCTCAAACCACAGCAGATTATTATTTCTAACTCTGTGTACTGTAGTTACCCCTGAGCACAATGTACCGCTCCACAATGTACGATGCTCTTACAATGTGTATGTACATTGTGGTAACAGGTTGTAAACCTGTTCAGTGAAATCTGGAGGGAACCCAAGATCTTTCTCTTGAATGTCTGAATAAACATGTGTGTATATATGAAACATTAGTTGAGTACTGTGTATATTCTTCAAATGGAATCTTCATGAATCTTCAACCTACACTAAACTGTCTTAATGGTAGCTAAATCATATTGGACATGTGTATGATTTACAATTCAAATTGCTTATTCATTGCAAATATAGATCAAGGCACAGAATATGCATGATGTATGCACAATATAATAATTTGTATTAATAGAACATTTGATGTTGACATGAGCATGTGAAACAAATTGATATTTGGAAAATATGTGAACTTATTTGGATATTATTTTTTTTAAGTGATACAGAGTTTACTACACCCAAGCATAAAATGATACTTTAGTTATAAAGACTGATGAACAGTCACCATTTGTCACAATAAGTTTCCAAAATGTTGATTTGACGCTTGAGACCAATTACCGAATAAGAGAAAAGACCATCATCAACAAAAAGTCAAAGGAATATTTCTATTAGATCTGGATATAACTGTATGACATTTTTAGATTTTGAGTTAATTTCAGGAATAAGACAACCTGATTGTGCTTAATACACAAACACAAACTCCCAATGGGAATCAAACATACGGTTATTACCATTGGTACATACCGGTACACAAGCTTGGACTCATAAATGCCTTAATGATGTATCAAAGGGAAAAAACATGATTTACAATGTAGAAGCAATGTATGGTCTTAGATGTTTGGTATAGAACAGTTCAAGTTTTGGAATTAATGAGTACTGACAGAAATCTTTATCAACACTGACCTTTTCTACAAACATGTCACAGAATGTGTAAACAACAAAATAGCAAAATTGACGCTTTGCTAAGTACATCTGTCCCTGTACCTGACAGTAGTAGTGACTACTGGGATTTAAACAAATCTGATTGTTTACATTGTAATGAAGATATGGAAAATGTTTACCAGGTTTAATGTGATCATTTCTTCCAGCATATGGACATTTCACCTCCACCAAGATATCAGCATCAATAATGGCATCTGGCGTAGCACCCAGATAGGGTTCAGAACAGGAAACAAATAGACCTGCCTTTTTTGTTTTGATATTGTACATGGATTCAAATTTTGAAAGTGCTCTTTTTTCATACTGCTTTCCATGAATTACAGGCTTACATGATAAAAATTTTGTGGACACAATTGATTTACATAACTTCTCCTTATTTCTTCGGTTGGTCATTTTGGTCACTTCACCAAACCTTGAGGCTGTGAGGCGCCACTTTCTTTCTGTGTGCCACACTGGGCTCCGGGACTGGTCTTGCGTTGCTGCCTCAATATCTTTCGCAGATTCCTCAGTTACCTGTAAAGAAAAACAAAAGTCAAGACATAAAAGAGATGTCCAAAACAATATTTTTTCACATAGTTTGTTTTACATGACAGTAATCTGAAAAATGCCTAATATACAAGTCTATATTTCTTTTACAAGGGAACTAATCTGCTTGATCATGATTAGGCATTTTCAAACTTAGTTAATTGCAATTTTACAAATTACTCACAACCCCAAATATTCAGATGTTGCTGTTTCCTCACAAGCTATGATTTTAACTGTGTATTACAAAGATCAAATCTGAAAGACTTTAGGTTTTAAAGATTTTTTACATGTATTATACAACAGAATTTCCAGTGTTGTGTACCTTCAGTGCCATGTCAACCATGTACTCTGTAAATGGCTGTTTAAGGTAGTGATGGTCCTCAGCAGCTGTCTGGACATCAGCTTTTGGGTGAACATATCTAAGGGCGATATTATGAGATGACTTTGCGCAGTAGTTTGTCATCATGTTGCGCACATGATCATTGTAGCCACTCATGTGTCTGTATTTTTGTGGCCTTGGATCGTCCAGCATATGCTGTGACCATTTTCTTTTTGACGGCAGTTCTGCAGCTGTTACGGGTGATCCTGAATACAATATTTTGATACTACATTGCCATAATAATCCTGTTCAAAACAACACTTATACAAATATTTAAAAACTTTTTCCACTCCAATATCCAACACATAATATTTAGTCATATACAGTTTCTCTTTTATATACAAAATCATAATGTGTCTAAGGCATTTAGAAGTGATGCACATAAGGAAGAGAATATATGGATGTCAACTTCTATATAATGAGGAAACACCCTTAACCTCATAATATAGAAGTTGACATCCATACATTCTCTTCCTCATCATAACATTGTAGTTGAGGCCTGGGTATGATATTTCCTTGGCTGTAATATGACCTACCTTTGTACGATTTTTTGGGCTTGTGGAACAACTGCAAGTTTTCGGTACAGCTCTTTCCAACTTGCACACTGCCAGTTGAGATGAAATGCTCCAACATCAACAGCACCGCAGCGATGTGCTTACAGGTTGAATGTGGTCCTTTCCCTGCAGGACACTCGCAGTGGGAGTTGACTGGCTCCCCGGTCTTCTCTACCTTCAGCTTGTAATTGTATGTGACCTAGGATAGAGTGAGTGGGTATGTATGGTTATGCACCACTTTTAGCAATATTCCAGCTCTTTCACAGCTAGAGACACCAGAAATGGGCTTCACACATTGAACCCTTTTAGGGAATTGAACCTGGCCTTCAGCAAGATGAGTAAACACTTGGACCACTAGGCTACCCACATTAACCCAAGCATAGAAGTCATGCATATAATGTGATGTATGTGCAATTTAATTTCCCATTAATAAATTCACTTTCAATCAGTTTTATGTCAAGAATGTATTTCGGATTAGCTTCATCTTTGAGTACAAATTTCATTATAATTTAAAAAGGTTTTATTTTTTATTTTTATTTTATGGTGTGTAAATATTTTACCTTGTTTTTCATAGATGCACTGACGATGCCACTTAAGTATACATCAGTAGATGCACGTATGTTAACACTGCATGCCAGCACCCTGTCCCCCTCAAACATCAGATAACCTTTCTCTATGGCCTTGATATCATGTGCAGCTTGGTTGTCTCCTGCCATACGGTAGATGAAGTAACCCTCAATGGTTTCTTTGGAAATGGGAGGCAGCAGTTGACGATGGGAAGGCATCAGCTGTTGAAATCCTGACACTGGCCATGATGTATCATCTGGACGTGGGATGGAGACAGATGGCCCAACAAAATCATCATTTCTGTCATAAGATTCAAGTCTGAAATGAAAATTAAATACATTTTAACTTGTGCAACTACTATTTCAGATTTGCATAATATTATAGGAAAATAATTCATATCATTATCACTATGACTAATATATCTCATAAATGACATGCATCATGAATAAGCAATGAAACCTGTATGATTAAACTGTGTTTGATAATCTCATGCCAATATTGCCAGAAGACAAATTATTACACATTTCCTGTTTTATAAAATACCTGGATAAATATATGGTAATTGTTAATGTGACATAGAGTCGCCAAGTTTCAATAATCATTTCATGGACAGAGAAATGTCAGTAAGCACTGCACTGTACACCTATCATAAGTCATTCAGAATTTTGGTGCCCATATCCTGACGAAAAGGAAGAGTAAAATATAACACTATAATTTGAAAAAAACTCTATATTTTGTGAATACAACAGGTTTCAAAGTTGTATAAACCTTCTGTGTTTTACTGCTTATTGCAAGCATTATGGGAAAATCCTCCGCCCGAAACCCCCATCCTAAAGTAATATGTCTGTCCAATGCATTGACGCTCAGTACTTTTAATTATTTTTGAAAAAAATGCTGGCGGATAAGGGCGGAAGTCGTACCGAATTTTGTTGAGAACTACGTGTCAAAACACTGCTGATCATATTCATAAAAAGCCCCGCTAAACTACAAAAGCAATCGGGTGTTCGAAAACAGGTGACGTCTCAGGAGTGCGGTGAATGTTAACAGACGACGCAATGGAGACTGCGCCTTTTATCGAGGACTTACATAATCTGAGACCGGGAGCCACAGTTATTACTTTGGTTATGGGTAACTATACAGTAGGTCATGGTTTAATAGAAGGCAACAACTGAAATATATCGATAGTTGATTTTGTCAGTCACAGTAGGCCTGACAGTGACAGAGATGGCACTTATTTGACAGGCAAGAAAAGGGCCTAGTAGAAATTGCGGTGCATATCGCAGATTATGAATGTAAGCATACTTGATAACTAAAAAAATGGGTTACATACCTCTCGATCAGTTCAAGTTTCCTTCCAGCTGTCGAAGCTTTTCGTTGAAAGAGCGCACATTTGAGTTTTGGCACGGACCATAGCAGGTATTGGCTGGCCATGTTCACATAAACTTGGCTACGGCTCTACTTGAAATTCGCGCTAAATGATTCGCAGCGCATTCTAATGGCGGAACCGTCACAGAGTATGACCACTAGTACACGCACGCCCCTGGCGGATTAGTACGGCGGTACTCCCCATTGTATCCTGCATCCGCTTCATCTGTCTCTGGTAGGTTTGCAGTGTCTGGACTTGAGCCTTGAGGTCGTTGATCTCAGCCTGGTCCATGGTCCAGCTGAGTTTGTAGTTGTTGTATTCGACCCGGCAGTGATTCAGATCCTTCTCAATCTTAGCGTTCTTCTCTCTCTCCAGACGGAGTTCCTTCATCGTGGCCTCCAGCTGCTGGCTGTAGTCCTCGTTGAGGCTCATGAGATGCTCCACAAAGCTGCAACACGGAGAAGAACGTCCGGATATAGTATGGAAATATGGATTTTCTGTTGCTTTTCCTTAAAATAAATAATCAAATTGTGTTCAAGTCTTTTAACAGAAAGTGTTTGTTTTTTACGTGTGACAGTAATCTATTTCGTCATAAAGATATTCTAGCAATCAGCGGCTATTGACTTGCAATAGGGGCGCTGGTATTTCACAAGTAGAGTAAGGACACTTTACCCTATTATAGAAATAACACTTAGGCTAGAATATAAGAAATTAATAGTTTCTCGTCTAACCAAACAAATTCTAAACTAGCAATAGTTCTGCTGACGGATTCTTACATTTTACCATTTCCGTTCATTCAAACTCGTTTGCATATTAAAAAATGCTATTGAACCCGTGGATACGAATCTTATAAGAAACTGAATATTTAGGCGCATAGCCGTTCTGTCACCTTACATGACATTACTTACCACTTGTGCCGCAATACACTGATGAACTCAAATTCTTCTTACATCAATTCCAGGTCTGTACTTTGTAAATGTCCACTGTAATATACTTCTGCTACACGCGCCGAGCTAGGACTACTAACCACGCCTCTGCTAGTGTGATTGTTATGACGTCATGTCACGTGATACATCGTTGTTGAGGAAGTAGAATAAAACGCGCGTCCAGATCGTATTTCCCGCGCGCATAACTATAGGCGCGCTCACCGGGAAGTAAACTTCATTTGCAGCTAGCTTGACAGGGTCGACAGAGACTGGGCGCTGGCGAACTGGTTGTCGTATCAAGATTGATTGAAGTCACTTAAAATCCAATATGTCTGTCTGCAGTACATGAGACGATTAGCTTGTTCAACTTGTTCTCAAAGAGTTGACTTCAGCATCTCAGTCTACAAGCAGTCTGCATGGTTTGTACAAAATATTGTGATGACTGTTTGCGCTGGTCTAGGGGAGATAACTCTTCTGGGACAGATGGAACCTAATTTGTCTTCAGTTTGATATCAAGGTAAGAAAATCTATTCATCTCAATTACTGTAACTCCAAATGAAGCAAGTCTAGATTTTCCAGAGGTTCTGAATCTCCCATCTCACTGGGTCTTTGTTTCAATTTAAATAGACTTGATTGTTTGTTTCTATGAGATTTATATGTTTTCGGAGACCAAGGGGTAGTCTGTCCCTCAGCAGTGGAATGCTAAACGGTTCAGCTGTCCTTGTATTGAATGGGACTGTAAATATCTCTCTGCTTATGTATTTATCTAATACGCCTCGCAGGGATTGGGGAAGAATATGTCCCAAGTTCCCCACGCATGTCGTATATGTCGACTATTGAGGATCGGCTCTTAACAATGTGTGACCTGGGGCTGGTGGTGTGGCATCGTGCACCGAAGGCGTGGATCGTTGCTCATGACATCAACCCCTGGTTTGATTACTTAGATATAGCCAAATATAATTTAACGTGAATACTTGAATAGTCGACCTGCGTCTATTTTTCAATTGCGGAAAACACTTTCAATGAAGATGGGACGTGTAATTTGAATAAGATATGCGTGGTTAGCATTTTGTATGGTAACGGCTTTCGTTTCAATATCACTTTATTGGGTACTTAAAGGATATCTGTGTCACGTTAGATATGTTGCCCGGCGTCTATTCAAGGCAGGCGTTTATTCATTTCGCTAGTGTGTCAGACTCGGCGTCTGTTTAAGGATTTACGGCGTGTCCTTCTGAAATAAGCACATTAGGAAACTTCACAGACATATTGAATTTGTATTCTGAACTGAACTGGGAAAATATACAGCTTTTTGTTAAATATATATGCATTACTGACCGTGACAAGTGTTGCCAGATCCGTCCTTGTCTTTGTGTCATCCTCGATTATACTGTGTATAATATCTCCTTTCTGTTACGATAAATACCCTGGACCCAATGCTTTAAGCTCAGTGTCGACCTAGTCAAATTGCACTCATTGGCGAGAGTATTTCTGTGCAACGTTAAATGGAGATGGTGACGTCACTTCCGAAACGAGGTATCTTTGGCGAATGGGCCTTGGATAGTACTTTTGGTCAATTATATATTTTTTTGCTTCAATTTAATATCAAGCTTTTGCCCGAAGTATATATTATACGGTATTCGTGTGATCAAAATATGTAGCGGAATAGTCACGTAAAAATCAGGGTTCACAAACAGCCAATTAAATGCCTAGAATGACTGAAAATCAGAAACGTGTACAGAGATAGGTTTTACACCTGGGTAATAAAATAGAATATTACACTGGATAATCGAGGATGGTGTTGTGCGCCAACGTTATCTCCGGTCACGTTATTTACCACTGGCGGTTTAAATTGAAACACGACTGTTTAGACTAGAGTGCATGTGTTAGCATATTGTTTTACACCGCTTGCATCTATGTTCCAGCAATATCACGGCGGGGGGACACCAGAAAATGGAATCGAACCCGACTCTTCGGCATGACAAGCGAACTCTTTAACCACTAGGCTACCCCATCGCCCCAGTTCAACCCAGAGATTTTACAAATGATGTCACAAACAAAGCATTTGAGAGAAAAGAATTTCTCGGACTATGCAGTAGACTCTATTCTATGGAGACAATAGTATAGACGTCTTTGTGCATAATGACGAACGAAATTAGAATTAGCCTTAAACAGTTTTATTTAACAAAATATATATTTTAGAAAATATAACATAAACATCTTGAAAAGCTATAACGTGTAAATAAGCACCATTTTTAAATATGTATTTATAAATTTAGTAATATATAACATGTTTAATATAAAAAAACCCAATGGTACCATATCAATAAGATGGACAATTCAAAACATAACTTTGAATTTTTTCATACATTTCTATCAAATATTCTTAAACATTGACGCACATGTGTCGAAAGTTGGAGGGTCCAGCACTCACTATAAGGGTTATATGGAACGGTTCTGCCCGAGTGTTGTCAGTAGGAGGGACAATATAAGTAGATGAAGCAGTCCTTTCTGCAAGTAAAATAATGTATTTCACACCAACCGCAATGGATATCATTTTGGATAAGCTTACTTCTTTGATCTTGGATGAAGGAAGAGGAACCATTTTAACTGGCTATTGAAATTTGTTGTAGACAATGACTGGCTACTGACAACGGGAGAGAACATTGGCTTTCTTCCTGTGCGGAAGGTGAGCTACACGTACGGTAGGACAGGGCTATACTTGAAGGTTTGTGTGAAGCTAGACGACGGAGCGAGCTGGCGTTGTGGTCATCAGGGTATTGGAGGGTGGTTTTGAGGGAATTGGAAAATGTGGGAGTGACTTGTATTCCTCTTTATCCATGTCCCACCCTCTCTGTCCATCCTCTTTATTCACGGCGCCTCCTACTGTTAACAGAGCTTCTTGACGTCCGCCCACTCTCCTGTTTGGCCTTGTGATCGAGCGGGACACTGCCGACAGACGATGTTCCATGGATTGGCGGGAAAACAAGTGGAATCCTGCTGCGTCGTCTGCTGGGAGCACCTTCGCGTGGGCCTGATGGAGGAGTGGGGCAGAAGCTTGACCCCAGAGACGGCAAACGGGTAGGAGTGTTACCTCCGTCCTTCTCTGATGAAGCGGTCTGCTTAGAAGAGATGACTATCTTGTTGTTGTCTGTGATTGGCGACAGAGCTGTCGTCTGCACATCTCTAGCTTTACCCGTGTACGGCCGTCTTCGCTTGTGACCTTCACCCGGAGAAGGTGGCACCCAAGGGGTCATTGCTGCCTTAGTCTCCTCGTTTAAACGCATGTGTCCATCCGCATCTAAATTTTGGGTCTTGAATTTGTGGTTTTCTCTCTCAAGGCGAGTAATTGCATCCTGCATCCGCTTCATCTGTCTCTGGTAGGTTTGCAGTATCTGGACTTGAGCCTTGAGGTCGTTGATCTCAGCCTGGTCCATGGTCCAGCTGAGTTTGTAGTTGTTGTATTCGACCCGGAAGTGTCTCAGATCCTTCTCAATCTCAGCCGTCCTCTCTCTCTCCAGACGGAGTTCCTTCATCGTGGCTTCCAGCTGCTGTCAGTAGTCCTCGTTGAGGCTCATGAGATGCTCCACAAAGCTGCAACACGGAGAAGGAACGTCCGGATATAGTATGGAAATAGATGGATTTTCAGTGTGTTTAATTCTTCACATAAATCATCAAAATGTGTTCATGACTTTAAACAAAGAGTGTTTGGTTTGACGTGTGACAACCCAGCTTTCTTCTACGTTGATTGTTTGGCTCTTTGGATTTTCCTCACTATTCATTGAATTGTTGACACCAGACTGAACCTTGCTTTTCTCTGTGTCATCTATGGCTTGACTACCCGTGTCAGCATCTGAAGGGTTTACAATGGTACACATTCGTAAAAGGTCAAATCATATGTTTCCTTATCTTTCTCGATAATCCTGTATTTAATCAGCCAGTATAGTGTTAAACCAATTGTCAAATTTTAATGTCTCTCACAGTTTCTCACGTTAGACTTGGATGTGTCTGACAATGTACCATGGAGGCACTCACCGTTGTCTGGGGTAGGGGACGTGGGTGGCGACTCCGGGATAGGGGACAGGACCTGTGTCCCTGCCCTCATGGCTAGCCTGTGTAGATACCGACCCATCTGGGGAACATAAAATTATATAAACACACCTACTACTAGGCTTCTTGTGTAGTACCTGTTTTTATTTTGTTTTGTTGGTTTATTGAAAAAAAAAGAATTACAGCAAAAATCCCGAAGGATCCCGAAAGTTTTGTGGGTCAGGGAAAATAAAGAATAATACAACACAAGTAATTTTGTAACAAGGGTTACTCTCCTTGTTCTTATAAGTTTTTCGAAGAAAAGGTATTTTTCAAATCCATATTTCATTTAACTTTGTGTAGAATTTCGAACATTGAAAACGGTTTCAAAGCGACCTTCCTTTAATGGATGATGTTACGATGATAAGATATACCTGGAAATATACAGTAATCTATTACGTCGTAAAGCCATTCTAGCAATCAGCGGCTATTGACTTGCAATAGGGACGCTAGTATTTCACAAGTAGAGTAAGGACACTTTACCCTATTATAGAAATAACACTTAGGCTTGAATATAAGAAATTAATAGTTTCTCGTCTAACCATACAAATACTAAACAAGCAATGGCTCTGCTGACGGATTCTTACATTTTACCATTTCCGTTCATTCAAACTCGTTTGCATATTAAAATATACTATTGAACCTATGGATATGAATTTTATAAGAAACAGAATATTTAGGCGCATAGCCGTTCTGTCACCTTACATGACATTACTTACCACTGTGGCGACAGTACACTGATGAACTCAAATTCTTCTTATAACAATTCCAGGTCTGTACTTTGTAAATATCAACTGTAATACTTCTGTTTGGACTACTAACCACGCCTCTGCTAGTGTGATTGTTATGACGTCATATCACGTGACACATCGTTGTTGAGGAAGTAGAATACACCGCGCGTCCAGATCGTATTTCCCGCGCGCATAACTATAAACTTCATTTACAGCTAGCTTGACAGGGTCAACAGAGACTGGGCGCTGGCGAACTGGTAGTCGTATCAAGATTGATTGAAGTCACTTAAAATCCAATATGTCTGTCTGCAGTCAATGAGACGATCAGCATGTTCAGCTTGTTCTCAAAGAGTTGACTTCAGCATCTCAGTCTACAAGCAGTCTGCATGGTTTGTACAAAATATTGTGATGACGGTTTGCGCTGGTCAAGGGGAGATAACTCTTCTGGGACAGATGAAAGCTAATTTGTCTTCAGTTTGATTTCAAGGTAAGAAAATCTATTCATCCCAATGTACTGTAACTCCAAATGAAGCAAGCCTAGATTTTCCACAGGCTCTGAATCTCCTATCTCACTGGGTCTTTTTTCAATGTAAATGAATGGAGTTAATTGTTTGTTTCTATGAGATTTATACATTTTCGGAGACTAAGGGGTAGTCTGTCCCTCAGCAGTGGAATGCTAAACAGTTCAGCTGTCCTATTTTGAATGTGACTGTAAATATCTCTCTGTTTATGTATTTATCTAATACGCCTCGCAGGGATTGGGGTAGAAAATGTCCCCATTACCCCACGCATGTCGTATATGTCGACTATTGAGGATCGGCTCTTTACAATGTGTGACCTGGGGCTGGTGGTGTGGCATCGCGCACAGAAGGCGTTGATCGCTGCTCACGACATCAACCACTGGTTTGATTACTTAGATATAGCCAAAAATAATTTACCGTAAATCCTTGAATAGTCGACCAACGTCTAATTTTTAATTGCGGAAAACACTTTCCATGAAGATGGGACGTGTAATTTGAATACCATGCGTGTGGTTAGCATTTTGTATGGTAACGGCTTTCGTTTCAATATCACTTTATTGGGTACTTAAAGGATATCTGTGTCACGTTAGATATGTTGCCCTGGCGTCTATTCAATGCAGGCGTTTATTCATTTCGCGAGTGTGTCAGACTGTTTAAGGATTTACGGTGTGTCCTCCTGAAATAGACCCGTGAAGATTCCGGGGTAGAATAGGTCTTCAGCAACCCGTACTTGTCGTAAAAGGCGACTGTGCTTGTCGTAAAAGGCGACTAACGGGATCGGGTGGTCAGGCTCGCTGACTTGGTTGATACATGTCATCGATCCCAATTGCGTGGATCGATGCTCATGATATTAATCACTGGATTGTCTGGTCCAGACTCGATTATTTACAGACCGCCGTCAAATAGCTGGAATATTGCTGAGTGCGGCGTTAAACAACAAACCAACCAACCAACCTCCTGAAAGAAGCACATTAGGAAACTTCACAGACATTTTGAATTTGTATTCTGAACTGAACTGGGTAAAATAAACAGCTTTTGATTAACAATATATGCATTACTGACCGTGACAAATGGCATAATGTTAAAGTGTTGCCAGAACCTTTAACCACTAGGCTACCCCACCACCCCAGTTCAACCCAAAGATTTTGCATCTGAGAGAAGACAATTTATCGGACTGTGCAGTAGACTCTTTTCTATACAGACAATAGTTTCGAGGTCTTTGTGCATAATGACAAACGAAATTAGAATTCTTTGGTTCAGCCTCAAACAGTTTTATTCAACACAATATAAATTTTACAAAATAAAACATAAACATCTTGAAAACCTATAACGTGTAAATAAGCACCATTTTTAAATATGTATTTATAAATTCAATAATATATAATATGTATAATATTAATAAAACCAGTGGTACCATATCAATAAGATTGACAATTCAAAACATAACTTTGAATTTTTTTCATACATTTCTATCAAATATTCGTAAACATTGACGCACAAATGTGTTGAAGGTTGGAGGGTGGAGCACTATAAGGGTTATATGGAACGGTTATGCTCGAGTATTGTCGGTACCAGGGACAATATAAGTAGATGAAGCAGTCCTTTCTGTAAGTAAAATAATGTACTTCACACCAACCGCAATGGATATCATTTTGGATAAGCTTACTTCTTTGATCTTGGATGAAGGAAGAGGAACCATTTTAACTGGCTATTGAAATTTGTTGTAGACAATGACTGGCTACTGACAACGGGAGAGAACATTGGCTTTCTTCCTGTGCGGAAGGTGAGCTACACGTACGGTAGGACAGGGCTATACTTGAAGGTTTGTGTGAAGCTAGACGACGGAGCGAGCTGGCGTTGTGGTCATCAGGGTATTGGAGGGTGGTTTTGAGGGAATTGGAAAATGTGGGAGTGACTTGTATTCCTCTTTATCCATGTCCCACCCTCTCTGTCCATCCTCTTTATTCATGGCGCCTCCTACTGTTAACAGAGCTTCTTGACGTCCGTCCACACTCCTGTTTGGCCTGGTGATCGAGTTGGACACTGCCGACAGACGATGTTCCATGGATTAGCGGGAAAACAAGTGGAATCCTGCTGCGTCGTCTGCTGGGAGCACGTGGGCCTGATGGTGGGGTTGGGCAGAAGCTCCCGAGGGACGGCAAACGGGTTGGAGAGTCACCTCCCTTCTTCTCTGATGAAGCGGTCTTCTTAGAAGAGATGACTATCTTGTTGTTGTCTGTGATTGGCGGCAGAGCTGTGGTCTGCACATCTCTAGTTTTATCCGTGTCCGACCGTCTTCGCTTGTGACCTTCACCCGGAGAAGGTGGCACCCAAGGGGTCATTGCTGCCTTAGTCTCCTCGTTTACACGCATGTGTCCATCAGCATCTAAGTTTTGGGTCTTGAATTTGTGGTTTTCTCTCTCAAGGCGAGTAATTGCATCCTGCATCCGCTTCATCTGTCTCTGGTAGGTTTGCAGTGTCTGGACTTGAGCCTTGAGGTCGTTGATCTCAGCCTGGTCCATGGTCCAGCTGAGTTTGTAGTTGTTGTATTCGACCCGGCAGTGTTTCAGATCCTTCTCAATCTGAGCGTTCTTCTATTTCTCCAGACGGAGTTCCTTCATTGTGGCCTCCAGCTGCTGGCTGTAGTCCTCGTTGAGGCTCATGAGATGCTGCACAAAGCTGCAACACGGAGAAGGAACGTCCGGATATAGTATGGAAATAGATGGATTTTCTGTTGTTTTCCCTTAACATAAATAATCAAAATGTGTTCAAGTCTTTAAACAGAAAGTGTTTTGTTTGACGTGTGACAACCCACCTTTCTTCTACGTTGATTGTTTGGCTCTTTGGACTTTCCCTACTATTCAGTGAATTGTTGACTCCAGACTGAACCCTACTTTTCTCTGTGTCATCTATGGCTTGACTACCCGTGTCAGCATCTGAAGGGTTCACAGTGGTACATTCGTAAAAAGTTTGTTATATGGCACTGTAATTGATTGTTAAACAATTCTGTAATTGTATTAGATAACCTAAGATTGTTTCTGTTTAGTTTCAGTTGCAGTTCATAGCATTGTGATTTGACAATGGTTAGTTGTCAGGAATGTATTACTACCTTATGTAAGCAGTTGTGTGGAAGTTAGTATATTTAGATGCTTTTGGGGTCACGTGTAATCTGGAAACTTCTAGAACAGCTGGAATAATCTGGCACTGTATAGAACCTTCTAGAAGGTATTTAACCCACATAAGGGTCCAAATGCGTGTATCTGTCATCTCACATTACATCAAGACCAGCGGTTGAGTAAAGATCGTGTTTTCACCCTGGATATCCACCCTAGGCCTATTTTGGAAGCTTGACCTCTGTTGCTTATCAGCAAATATTATTATCGCTGCACTGAAAAAATAGTTTAAGTTTACTCACACTCAGACACTGACGTGTTAGTAGACTTTACGAATCAGTTAATATTCTTTTAATGGGTGGCCTATCGTTATTAACTAAAAAAAGGTTAAGTTAAAATCAGAAATACTTTCATTGACGGCTTCCTGTATGAGAGAAATACTATCAGACATACAACAACACATTACCATACCTCTTGATTTGTAGTCCGTCACGCTACCACATGTGCTGCGGAGACTGTTGACGCCACAAGTTTCCATTTTTCACGTCACCATTAGCTTGGTTTATTTGTACATTTTTATGTTAATATTTAACCAAGTCTTACCAAGTTCTGGTGGTATATGTGTTATGCAAGTGCCTGTGAATCTGATTTCCACATCTAATTTCAATATATATATATTATACATCCCATCCATATTTGACTTATAGTCTGATGATATACACTTTATTAAACATGTTTAAAGATGTTTAAATTCAAAACATGTTTAAAGGTGTTTGAACGCTAAACACGATAGCTCTTTTCATGTGTTTAGACCCTAAAGGTGTTTAGATAGGACACACTAAATGTGCACACCGTTTAGGATTGAAACACATTCCTAAATATGTCTTGTGTGTGTTTAGATTCTTAACACATTTTTACAGTGTGGTTAAGTAATGAATTATACTAATTTAATAAGTGATATTCACTAATCATCTTGTGCAGTTCACCAGGCAGGATAGTAAATTCGGTGTTAACTAAACTTCTGACCGCTGTTACTTATTAAGTTAGGAGAAGACACTTGGCTTTTTTCTCAGTGTGTCTGCTATTACCACTGCTGTATTTCATGCTGTCATTGTAATTGCACTGCCACTTTATTGTGTACTGCCATTGCAATAACTTTGCAGCATTTTGTATTGATTTGTAAACCTAGTTAATTCTATAATACAATTTTTAATTTTGTAAGATTTCATTTTCTTTGTTGTTTGTCGGTTTCACACTGAATTATGTAACGAAATGAGATTTCTGGTTTTAACTTATTGTTTGAATTTGGAAGTCGACACGTAACAGGTTATGGAGAAGAATCCAATGCTTCCTTTTCCTTCTCGACAATCCTGTGTTTAGTCTGCCATGTAAGACTTGGATGTGTCTGACTGTGTACCATGTCACTCACCGCTGTCTGGGGTAGGGGACGTGGGTGGCGACTCCGGGATAGGGGACAGGACCTGTGTCCCTGCCCTCATGGCTAACCTGTGTAGATACCGGCCCATCTGGGGAACATAAACATTATATAAATACACCGGATACTAGGTTTCTTGTGAATTATGTGTTATTGTTTTAAAAAAACTGTCACAATAATTCCCAAGTGATCCCACAAGTAGTCGGTGAGGGAAAATATAGAAAAGGTTACTCTCCTTGGTTTAAATCTTCTCCAAGTTGTAATTGATTTTACATTTGTGTAGAATTTGGGTCGTGGACAAGAAATCTTTTTAAAGACCTTTTTTAAATAGATGATATTACTTAATAAAGGCATTTTAGAAATCATTGGCAACTGTGTACGGTGTGTGACAATGGGGTATGTATTATTTCACACTATACCTTATAACAGAAAAAAAAACTTCGGCTAGACTGACATTACCATGTATGATACGGAAATAACAGTTTCTCGTCTAGAACTCACAAGTACTTTAATGAAGCCGGTAAACTAGAAATAGCCCTGCTGACGGCTTCTTACAGATACTGTCCTCATTTTGCCAATTTTAAATAAAATCCATTTGCATAATATAAATTTATAACAAAACGATTCTATAGGCGTCTAACCTTTGTGTCACCTTACATGACATTACTTACCACTGTGGCCGCAATACACTGATGAACTCAAATTCTTCTTATAACAATTCCAGGTCTGTACTTTGTAAATATCAACTGTAATACTTCTGCTACACGCGTCGAGCTTGGACTACTAACCACGCCTCTGCTAGTGTGATTGTTATGACGTCATGTCACGTGACACATCGTCGCTGAGGAAGTAGAATACACAGCGCGACGAAATCGTATTTCCCGCGCGAATAACCACAAGGCGCGCTCAACTAAACTTCATCTGCAGCGAGTTTGACAGGATCATCAACAGAGACTGGCGCTGGCGAAATGGCAGTCGTATCAAGATTGATGGAAGCTTGTTCATGCACGGTCTCAAAGAGTTGATTGAGTTGGGGTTAACGCCGCTTTTAACAGTATTCCAGTCATATCACGGCGTGTCAGCTTAATGTGGGAGGAAAGCCCCAAGTGATGCAGGTTTTAGACGTTTACCACTTCGGTGAAACTCACGAGCACGGGTATGGTGCTGACAAACCTAGAAACATAATCGGAGCGAACCGGGATTCGAACCCACAATCAAAGGTTTCTGGCGTGTCCAAGGGACGAAACTCTGCACACCGAATTGCGGCGCCTTAGACGACTGGGCCACCCGTGCCCCATGAAAGAGTTGACTTCCAACATCTCAGTTTACAAGCAGTCTGCATGGTTTGTACAATCTGACGTTGTTAGCATACGAACAGACTTTTCTGAATCTACGCTTAGGCCTGGGTTCGAGTCCCCACATGGGTACAATGTGTGAAGACCGTTTCTGGTGTCCCCCGTCATGATATTGCTGTAATATTGCTAAAGGCGGTGTAAAACCACAATCACTCTACAGAGACTGATATTTTAGATATTTATATACAGTTAAAACATGTTTAAAACTTGCCAAGCGTTCACACCCAAGATTCGCTCCATCTGTGTTCCTGGGCTTATTTATGCGTGAATTTCACCAGGGTTGTCAACATCTAGGGCTCACGTCTCCTCGCGTCTCATACAATATAAGTACCCTCACAGTTCCTTAGAATGGTCTGTCTCGGTCCCTGAACAATATAATTTTCCCTTCCGCACATATCTTGGTGTCATGCTATAGCTCTAATTGAAGCAATTCTAGATTTTCTACGGGTTCAGAATGAACCTTTCATCACACTGGGGTTTCTTTTCAATGTAAATGGATTTGTTTGTTTCTACCCAAAATAAACATTCAGAGACTAACGTTAATCTAATGAAGTATGAGCAAATGTGCTGTTATGACTGTTTGCGCTGGTCTAGGGGAGACAACTCTTCTGGGACAGGTAGAAGCTAATTTGTCTCAGTTTCATTCTACTAAGAAGGTAACTTATTCTTAAATCATAACACTATTGACATATTAACAAGAAACGGCGCAGTTCGCATCTTTTATTCCCGATTTACAAATAGGACAAATTGTTTGTGACCTTTCCATCCACAATATTCAACTTTAAGAGATCTAATCTCATTCTGATTTATACATCAGGAGGCATTGGTGAGTCTTGCATTGCACAACTTCAGCAGGTTGAAGTGATGCAGGTCTTACACCTTTACCATTTTGGTGAAGCCCTTGATCACAGGTACGGTGCAGACAAACCAAGAAACATAATCATTGCAAACTGGGATTTGAACCCAGGATAAGTATGTTTCATATTTTTCATAGGCTTCTGACACGCATTAGGGACGGAACTCTGCACATCAACTTGTGTTCCCTGCTGTGATATTGCTAAAAGCAGCAAAAAAACATACTCGCTCACTCTAGTTTTTAAGGTAAGGTGAGGTGAAATTGGGTTTAACGTTGCGTCCAAGATTATTGCACTTATATAGCCACGTGCATGCACATGTGTGTGTGCGTGTGTATGTGTATGTGTGTGGCTGCTTGTACTAGTCCGGACTAATGCCGATTTATAGTGCTAGCTCACTGAGATAACATGCAGCAGTTTAACATGAATACCCCACTCAGACAAAGTATACTGACCAGTCCTTGTTTTAGCCCCTTTATGCCAAGCGCCAGACAGGGTAACAACAAGTACCATCTTTTAACTTCTTTTGGTATGACGCGGCCGGGGAACGAAACCCCGGACTTTCTGTCTCAAAGCGGACGCTCTACCACTAGACCACAGAGGCGATCTCTAGTTTTTAAGAAGAGCACATTCCTAACTGACTGTCAAAATATAAGCTCAGCATCATGGTGAGGAAATCATGCGAAAAGTGTTTGATTCCACCGTTGAAAAGCATCAATGACATCTGAGATAGAAATGGACTCATCAAAACAGTGCAAATGTAAATGCAGATCTATTGAACTGCAAAATATCACTTTTGTCTGACAAAAACAAGACATTCCTGTTGCAGAAAATATGTTTTATTTACTCATCTAGCACAACAATGTTTCAGTGTAAGGGACCCAGTAACAAGAACAAAATACTGTAAATAAACAAATTGCACATCAGCATTCTGAACCCTCGCCAGTTGAGACCCTTCATTCTGATGAATTTGAGTGCACATGGAGTTGTGAAGATTTTAATATATCTTAGAAAGCAGGGTAAAAAGAAGAGTAAGTCTATCTGGAAATCAGTGAGTGAATGTTGTTTTGTGCTACAGTAATATCACAATCAGATCATACCTGTTTGTAAATGATTTGAGTCCAGACTAGACAGTTTGTGTCAAATAATTTTGTGTCTCAGCATTAAACTTGACACATGCCATCATTTTTAGCAGATTTTAGTGTTTTCATATGGACTTTTTAAACAAGCTTTAAAGACAAGGTTTTTGATGAGTGGCCAGAAGCTGGACAAACCAATGGCACTACTCCATCAGGTTAGGATACACTAGCCAGTGCTGTGTTACACAAAATGACCTTACCGCTAAGAAATCAATACTCCCAGATTGTAACATAGACTAAGATCTTAGCACTAAGATCACTTTGTGGAAGGAGACCCTGGACACATGGACCACCCAATACTAGTCTATTCTTAGCATAAATATGGGACCTACATTGACTCACAATTTTTCAAAGCAGGAAAACATTGATAGTCAAAATAGAATAGCATTAAAGTTTTTGAGAAAAGAGAGAAGAGCAGCGTTAGATATTGGCACTAGTCCTGTAGTCCTTGCCAAACTTCGCAATAGTTAAGGTATCATAAGGACCAGTAGAAGTTTGCCTTTTATTAGGGTTCTGCTTTATATTATCATTTTAAGGACTAGTGGACTTAAAATGTTAGTTTCTACCACAGAAGAGATTTGTCCCTGTTGTGTGCACTCAAAAACAACCAGTACAGCTGAGGACAACCTGGATGAACATGTTGAATGCTGATTGAGGCAAGAACATGAAATCATACTGTCCAAAAATCATAATATCATAATAAATCATGTATGCTATTATCTGTAAAATGATAAATTCTGTAAAATTGGATATTTACACAGTACCATATGTTCTGAAAGAGTTATAACTGAGGAGCACACAGCTGCTTTCATTTCAACTAAACAAGATGCAGAGTACAAATATGTAGTGTCAAATAAAAGGGACTCTTTTTATCAATATTATCAACACAGTTTCATTCATCTTTCGAACGTTAAGTGGTGTCGTCACATCCCCATAGCTCCATGCAGAGATTTGAAAGGTTTCAGAACCTTCTCCATAATATTCCAGCTATAAACTGTCCTGTAGACAATTAAGTCTTAACCAGACAAACAAGTGGTTGACAGCATGATTAACAATATGGTTCCACACTTTGACAACCTGATCATCAACTGCTGGCTCTCACAAGAATCAGGTACTTGGGATCTGTTTGACTCTTGAATCTGGTAAGGAAAGATTACCAGAACGGAAAGCCCTTAGACTTACACTTTACCACTTTGGTGAAACATGAGAGCATGGGAATGGTGCTGACAAAATGGATCATAATCAAGGCGAATCTAGGATTTGAACCAATGCTTGAGGATCCTACACAGCAAATCGCACCCCATATTCTACTGGGTTACTGATGGCATAGATTCAAGGTGAAGTGGATCTGAGTTTTGCTTTCAAAAAGAATGCTTTTTACAGGCACCAATAGCCATAAGGATCAACATAACCTGCATTCAATGTCAGGGGTATAATGAGATAAAACTGAAATCTAAAACAGTAACCATGAAACAAAAGATTTTGAATGAACAATAGAATTTCAATTGTTAACACATTGTCACAGCCAATATCAAACAATGCATTCATAAAATTATTCTCTAATCATAAAATTGCATGAATGTGTTTTGGCATACATGAAACGTTTCCTACAGGGAACAAAGAATAACAAACATATTCACACTACAGGAATAGGAATGTAACAGTAACCCAATCAACCCAATGCAATGCCAATGCACAAAGGAAGAAAACACCTGTCATAACAATAATAAGTCATGGAACTGAAGTAAATAAATAAACATTGCACATCGACAGAATGAGCAGATTTATTATGGCAGAGCTGTTTTTCTCAATCTTCATATCAATATATCTTCACAGGATTGCAATCTATGTGGCCTTTTAACAGTTATCTTTTCTTGAGAGAAAAAGAAAGATGATTAATGGTCAAAGAGGTTGAGCAAAAAACATTATCAAGACCACAGCAAGAATCACTAATCACAAACTTGTAATTGGCCATAGATCTACAGTAAACATTTGTGAATACTTTGGTTATGTGCAGAACTTAATATGATAACATAAATGATAATTTACACATTATGATTCGAAATACTGACTGAAATGAATGTAATATTATATTTTAGGGCACATGAACCTCAGTCTGCATTTTCTATGCTCTACCAAATCTAAGTGAATAACCTTGTGCCAACACAAGTCCTGTTTTTTAGGATCCAAATTCCACTCAATAATAATTGAATAGGTATACATGTTAAATCGCAAAGCAGACCCAAGGGAGGCAACTCGGTACACGAAGAGGATATTACAGAAAAGTAAACTACAGTCAACACTTAAGTGTATTGCATTGTGGATATTATGATACACATATAATTGCACATGAGTAAATAGTAACAGGTTTCTACAACAGGTAACAGACATAGAACTATTTACATATAAATATAGATTTGAGCTTTGTCTGAGACCACATGTACATTATTTACACTCCATACAACCATGAAGGCTGAACTGGGACAGACTAAAATACTAATTCCATCTTGCTTTTCAGTCAGTTTGTAAAACTCTGAATGAAGTGTATGGAAAGAGACAGGAACACTTGAGCTATAACGTTACATAATAAGAGATAGGATATATAAGCAAGATAGTGGAGCCATTATATTACCGTAACGCTGCTGGCATCATGTACAAGACACTTACTGATGCAATAATTTCCTTCAACTAGAGCTAGTCAATATGAGAAAATAGGAATCCTTGCCCCTTGATTTTTACGGCCACTGTATCTTATCCACTCTAGGTCTTTATTTACTAACATGGTAAGGGCCCTTGACTTGTATCATTTTGTATCATCTTGTATCCTTATCTTTGTAAACTGCTTGTGATTTTACACAAAACCTTCCTGCCTTATTCACAGCCAATGGAAGGAACATTTAAATTCTACTAACAGCTATACAAATTTTAACAAATGAAACATGAAACAAAGATGAAATATTGAAGTAAATACTTCATAACTTATTGCACTAAAATGTCACTGATAGTCTTGGATAAAAGAAACCATTTCAAACAGCATACATAACTTAGGCTTAAAAAAATAAAACAATTGGTTCTCAGGCAATGGCTTACACAAAAATAATGCAGGCAGGCAGTGTGTTTTTGTTGTTGTTTTTTTTATGTTGAAACTAGTATGTAACCAAATTTTGTTTACAATTATTTCGGTGAAATCATGTTGCTCTTGAGTATTGTAGCATTTCACTGCTAGGGCGTGTGTTCAAGACGTGGAATATTTAAAGATTTTTTTTTTTTTAAATGGAAATAAAAATGATGTGGTGTCTGAGAACCAAGACTATTATTTATTTTAGCCGAAACATATGAATTTAAAGATCTGCTTATGTCTCCATGTTCTGCAACATTCATGTAACTTTTCTTCTAATTCTTCTTGCACTGTAATACCCATGTGAAATTTGAGCTTACATCTTGGTGGAAAAAAAAAGTCTGATGCATTTTTAATCATTATGCGTCAAGGAGAAATGTCATCCAGATAACACAGTAGCAAGCAGTCCAAAAATAGGACACAAAAAACAAATATATTCTTTGGATGGACATACTGATTGTATAAGGATTTCTTTAAAAAAAACTGAAACATTTAAGACATATCATCCAATACAAGAGATAGCAACATAGAAATAGGGTAGGCTATCATAATGCAAAGTAACCCTGGGCTTCGCAACATTCAATATATGTGGGCCAAATTCCATGAAACAATCTTAGTGCTAAGACGATTGTAACTCCTATACTTTAACACTGATTTACAACAGTAATAGCACTAAAATTTGAGGAACAGGATCATGAACAGGTAGTCACTAAATGCTGCTGCTACAGCCAACATCCTGTGTCATCATCGTCAATAGAATCTTGTGTTAATGCATCAAATAATGATTCGAGACAAAAAACTGCATTCTTTGCAATTCTCCATCAGCCTATTTGTACATGTTGTATCTGCATTTATGACTGAATTCATTCTGCATGAGTTGCAATGTTTTCAGTTTCTCAAACGGCAGTACACGGGAAATACTTCCTTGTACTCATGATTTGTTAACCCTGACAATTGCACTGGAAATGGCACTGTCTTGCACTGTACATGGAAAATCCATTATCAGTCTGTGGCAAAAACTTTGGAATCCACTAGGCCGAACTTGGCCCTAAGCATCATTTTCAGTTGATTTTAGTACTATTTATGGACTAATATTTCTGAGCTTACTGGAACAAACAGAATATTTCTAGACTCAGGCTTCAAACAAGTGGCAAAAGTCGCACACTGCATAATTAACAGTTGATTAAAATTTCACTTTAAGTAGGCCAAAAGAGTTAATACATCTTTGACTTAAGATACACAGTACTAAAGTCCATGGGGTACTGTTAAACAAATTGAAGGTATCTCATACCAACTTCTAATGGTTTGCCTCCCATCAACAACAATACATGCACTGAAGACAAATAAACATATGACGGAGTTGACAACAAGAGAGTAAAATAAATAATACAAACTTAATAAACCATCAAAAAGAAGGAACGTACAGCAATGTCAGCTGATAACACTGGAATGTGGAGAGGAAGAAGATGGATAGGAACATTGGCAAACCAAATAACCAGTGATAGAGTTCTGCAGAGATGTGATATAACAACCACAAGTATATCTATGGATATCTAACTACAACACTCAATTCTTTGTTTCATTCATTTCATGCAGTCAAAGTGCGTCCACCATGAGGACTGTGTACAGGACACTCAGGTCTGACAGCGTCTCAATGTAAGGCATACACATATGACTATGCTTACACAGGTATCAGATCGTGGTGGAGATCATTCATTGAACATTTCAAATTCAGCAATATCTGGGTAAAATAGAGCTAAATTGATCCGTTCTCTAATATTAATAAAGCATAAAATCAAATGTTGGACATCCGGTGTTCACAATATAACTATAAAGTCTTCCCATTTTGATTCAAGGTGACCTCAGGTTAATCATAAATGCTTGCTCGTACAATTAGGACAAATCTTAGCACTTGTTGAAAATTTTGATGAAATGAATACATATACTTAATTGATGGATTTCTGAATTGACATTATTGTTACATTATGAGTGATAACCAGTGTTCAAATCTCCTCAGAAAATGTTGCCAGATCAGTGGAGAAATTATCAGAAAAAGTTCTTTTCTGAATGTAAAGTCCTGTACTCGTGATCTGACTGTTTTGAACACTGGAATGAACTGATGATTCAAAGACAAGGAATCTGATATTCATGGATGCAAGACTCCTGTAAGTGACGTCATCTCGGCTATGGCTACCGAGCAGACAGGATTAAGTCTCTGATGCTATGTACAAATGTCATTGAAATGTTGATATCACAATGATTACAGATTGACTAGAACAGACAGGAGCACTACGTTCCGTCTAAACCTCTAAACAATCATGCATATATGTATGCTATTAATTCACAAGTAATAGAATCTAACATGAAGAGATGTTTAGATATTTCAAGGTAAAGCAGATCAAATAATTAAGTCATGAATTTAATCAAGGTATTTAAACAGTTGTAGAAAGAGATTCTCGATGTAGGTTGGGATACCATATTCAAAATATCAAGTTCTAGGTCACTTACAGTACCGGTATTTTCTTTATATCATCTATCAATTCTCATTACCGCCCACGCTATAGTGTTCTAGTTTTAACACTGTAGCTAAACCCTTTCATGAACCACAATTATGTACTTCAAGTTCAATACCTAAAAGTAGATATAGTTCAGATGAAATTCTAGTGAAAATGATATTTCCTAAACATCCTTCTAAAAATCTTCTTTCATATTTAACCTGATCCAGATATGGATGGTGCCATATTTGAGTAAATGAACTCTGAGGATCAATACATAGAATATGGTATATCATATATGTCCTGTGTATGAATGACTCAGATCTACGGCCGGCCTGTATCTGTGGCCAGTTGTCTACTACATAGCCGAAGTCCAAATACCATCAGCATACTGTCCGGCCCAAGGTGATGTCCCACTGATGGAAGATCATCAAGCGAGGGCAGCTGGTGTTGTCTTGTTCACATTAACTATCATAACCCTGGTGGACCCGTTACGTTGACCTGTACACAGTATCCACCTTTCATTACACCTGTGGAAGAGTTACCACCAATCGGTAATATATGCCACAGATTGAAGACTGCCACGGATCTGAGTCTTGGCTAACTGACAGCCTGTCAAAGTGACCTGCTACTTCTGCTGTCTGAACACTTGTTAGTTTATACACATGGTGGTTGAAAGTCTACTGGCAAGCAACAGCTCCTTCCCTCTAGAATGCATCACGGATGTTGCTAAAATTCCGAACTGCCAGATCAACTGGCAGCCTGAAGTTGACTGAATTGAGGCGTTCCAAGGATTTCAGAGTGTCGTCAAAACCTGAAACATCCAAGTTGAAATCGTAAAAATTGGACCAAAAGACTATAAATGATTGAGTGAATGAGTTTTTAGGCAGTAAAATTCCAGAAATATTACAGTGTCTCACAGTAAATACTCAAGGACAGACAGCATGAAAACAAGCCTCTCTGTTAGGTATCCCTTTCAACAAGGTTCCACATGGTAACTATCTAATAGTCAATAGTCAGCTTTAAGTGACTGAGATGTGAGTTGGGGTTAACGCCGCTTTTAACAGTATTCCAGTTACCGGTATATCATGGCTTGTCAGCTTAATGTGGGGGGAAAACTGAAGTTTATGCAGGTCTGAGATGTTTACCACTTCGGTGAAACCCACGAGCAGGGGTATGGTGCTGACAAACTGAGAAACATAATCGGGGCGAACCGAGATTCAAAGCCACAATCATAGGGTTCTGGCTTGACCAAGGGACGCAACTCTGCACAGAGAATCGCGGTGCCTCAGATGACTGGGCCACCCATGCCCCCAGTCAGCTTTAAGACTAGCATGGGACAAGAGACCTATCACAACCAGAAACCCTATGGGGGAGAAAGGTTATGAAAGTCACATCTTTTGGGTTCTGATTGGGTTATCATTACAAGAATGAACAGCAAATTGAAGCAACTTCATCCAGTATGGTAAGCTAGTGATTAATTACAGCTTAACAGCAATTTCACCAATTTCCAGTAAATGCTTCTACCACTAACTAGGCTATCCTATAGCCCTTGGCAATCAGGTAACATCACACCTAAGACATTACATCTACATTACAAAAATGGTTAAACATACACAGGCATATTTCCCCCCAATTATTTGAAGATTTCTTCATGACAGCATTTTGTTCACATTTCAGGTATGAAATAGACCCAGAATCAAAATTGCCTCTCGAAGGATGCATCTACTTTACTGCAGTATTCTGCATATTAAAAAAGACCATAATGAAACATTTTGTCATTTTAAGCGCTAACGTGATAGTCAATGAAAGTCATACTGACATAACTGTCATTGACTTGATTCAGGGTTAGAAATAAACTCAAATGCTTCAATACATCAGGTAAAGATAAAATACCCTTGCAACGTTAAAACAATGTAGAATTTTGTACAAGCCCATAGAAATTTGTACTAGCCAAAGGCTAACAGGCTAGCACCAATTTCTATCCCTGCTTGATTACATGCTAAAAGTACCAAATAACATTGAAATCCCAGCAGGGCATATTTTTCCAATCATATGTGATGTAGTTCCCACTGGAGGATCCAGAGGTGGTAGGTAGGGTGGTTGCAGGGAGTGCGCACCTCTCTTTTTTAGACACTTTACATGTGAACTGGGCGTCACTTTGTGTGCACCCTTCCCCTTTTCAACATCCTGGATCCCCCTGTGAGTTCCTGCATGGCTTTACCCCCATGGAGATTTTTGGATAGAACTGGCGCTCAGCAACCTACACTTGTATTAAGAGGCGATCAGGCGGTTAGGTTCAGTGACTTTACTGGGTCATTGCTCATACCGTATTCTACGTAATAAGCGCCCAGGGCGCTGTCAAAATTAGAAATAGGGGGCTCTTTTTAGAATATAATTTTGAAGAAAGAGTTGAAAGATCGTAAATTTTGTGGTTTATGTTTACAGCCTGAAATGATACAAAAGAAAAGTCTGTGCATATTATACACGTCAGATATATTTTCCAAGAATTTAATTGCCTGTAATTAAGGGTGCATATAACACACGAGTGAGTATTATACGCGAATAAATAAGCCTTGTGTACATTGATCATTTGTAAGGGTGCTAATTGGGATTGTTCCCAAGCCAATATATTAGCAAATATTGCTGTGGGCGCTTATTACGTTGAATATGGTAATAACAAATCACTGGTTTGTCTGGTCCAGACTAAAGGATTTACAGGCTTTCACCATACAGGTTGAATATTCCTGAGAGCAGCATTACAAAACCCCAACAACCCAAAATGTTTTTATTTAGGACTACTGAACATGTCTTCTTTGTTGATACAATAATTGAGCCAATACACACATGTGATTATGTCAATACCTGTTACCCACAAACTCTATAATGACCTTCACAATATTGACTTGACATGGCTTGTATTTTATTTCTAGGGTCCATAATATAGATATTGATATAGAACAACAACAAAATCACAACAGCTTGTAAGTTGTAAAACAAGGTCCAGAGAGGTCTATAGTAAAACTGTACAGCATTAGCTGTCGTGAGTATTTTGCTCAACATTGACTATTCAGTGCCCAACCCACAACTGCTATGACAGGCTGTGATGTAATAGCTTGTGAGGCATCATTACATCAATAATGGTGTCTGCATTAAGTATTTGAAATCATTATTACATGTTCTCAATATAGATTTTTATTGCTGCGTTAAACAACAAACCAACCAATATTGAGTGATTGATATTTCAACAATATCACACATGGGACACACATGTGGGGGTTGAAACCCACATTCTCGGCTTAATAATAAGTGAAAGCATTAACCAACTGGTCAACCCCCATCCAACAATAACTGGAGAAAAGGTCATATTTACAATATATGCCAGCAGATCCAGGATTTTAAAATAGGGAGGATTCCACTTGGGCTATTGATTGATAATTTTACTTTAAGAACCAATGAACATATTATTATGGTAGGAAATGCGCATACAAAATGTCATCAGATGTAAACAAAGGGGGGTGCCACACACACACACACACACACACACTTTATGGATCCACCACAGTATGCTCTGTGTGCAGGAACGGTATGAAGGGTAAGTAATGCACAACAAGCATGGGCACCTATTCTGAACCCCTGAAAAATAATGACAACCCAGTCTTAAACCCCCCGGGGAGCTGGAGACAGAAGGCTGCAGTAGTTACCTGTCCTGGCAATGTAGCTCCAGTCTTGGTAGTACAAGTCGATCAGTGTCTGTGTGCGGAACAGCAGGCGGAGCCACGTGGCCAGCTTCTTCTCACTGTCAAATAATAATAATAATAATAATAATAATAATGTGCATACAATGGATCAGTGTGCACTTGAGTTTCATTCTCAGCTCCCTGGGGAGTATACAACCCAAGCAGCCTTGTGAGGCGCTAGAAGGTTAACAGTCACATTGACATTTCATCATACTGGGTTGCAATACTTCTAACATTAATCCTTAATTCAAAATATGATTTAGAATTCTGTTCCTTGTGTCACATGTCTTATTATTATGCCTCAAAGCTAGATTGACTAAACAGAGAGCAGAACTACCAACCCATATAAGCCTCGTCAGTAAAAATGAAAGATGATTGTTACTGACTTAATATGACACCATCTTGGATTTTCCAGCACCGACATCAAATATTTAACACGAAAATTCTGGTACAGAAATTTGTTATTCGACACTGTTTTGTGTTTTTATATGATCAATTGTGATGTGCAAGGACATTAATTTTTAAAGTAATCACGTTTTTAACTTTATTAATATAATTAATAGAGTATTTGAGGAAGTAGGGCAGCTGAACAGACCGAGGGCTTATGCAAATGATAATGCCCTGAAAAATAATGTTACCGTTATTAGAGCTATAATGGATACAATTTGTAGCTGATCCCAGAAAGAACAAAACAAACAGCAGCATACATTTAGTGGCTGTATTAAAATACTCACAAAGGAGGTCATCGATATAGACATGGCAACGTTATAGAACAAAATAAAGGATGACGTCACAAAAAAAAATTTGATGCCAATGATGTCACATAACAATAGAATTGATAGCATTCTGTCGTTAGGGAAAAGCGGGCTGCTATCATGTTACAGTGGCCTCCAGATTTCTGAAAACATGCCAGAACTCTTATGATTTTAGCTATGATACTTGTTTAAATGTTCACATTTAGTGCATTATGTATTCCATTATGAACATTTGTGTTTACATTAAAACGTTGTATCGGAAACATATGTACTGGTCCTGGCATTTATACCGGTTGTAAGTGTCAAGTTTTAATTTGTGATAATTCAATGTGTGATAAAGATACTAAAGAGTGTAAACTTTTTCGGCATAATAACTTAGTTAGGTGTCTTCAGTTGCCGTATACGATGTCATATCTGATTAGCAGAAAAATATTGAGCAAGGTATAAGGCAACTAAAGACACCATAATTAATAATATTGTGAGGTTGTATGGCAACCAAGGGTAATTTTACTCTCTATCTTTAAGCTTTCCACCAACATTCCACTATACGACAAGACAGACAAGATTATTCTGAATGAAAGGCCTTGTGTCCCTGAGTACATTTAAAGGATCACATGAATATACAATTACATAGGTAAATTCTGTAGAAAGAAGATATCTAATTTTGGAATTTCACAATTAGCCCTGAGACTCACTCTTATTTGCAGTGGTGTAAATAAAATATCTCACCCTTGTGTATTTTGATATCAAATATATCAACCTGGGTCTGAGAGTTTTAAAATTTTATCAATGCGTGTTGAAATATATGATATCAAAAGACGTGAGGGTGAGATTCTATTTGTCACATACGATTCTTCAAACTTTTTTCAGTTTGTAAACAGTAATAATCAGCGTCTTGCGTGTAACAAGTACAGCTAACCAGCTTCACTGGAACAGAGGTTAGTGATGTCGTTGCGACATTGTGGTAACTGATGACAGCACAATGGTATTCAAAGTATTGGATAGCAATTTTAATGTAGTGATATTTCGTGTGAAAGCCAGTTTTGGTGATTCTAAACTAGCAATCCTCAGCAAGATTCCATCTACTCACTTGAGAGCCAGACTGACGAAGGCCTTGAAGTGGGAGTCTTCGGTCCTCTTGAGTGGCGTGTGTGACGTGATAACTGTGTCTATAGCACCGAGCAGGGTCTGTTTGGCTGTGATGGGCTTCCCACCCACAATGTTCAGGTGAAAGGACTGAGACAGTTTCCTCGCAGGTGACTCGTTGTACTCTCGCCCATGCTGGAAAAATTGGTTTGCAAGATTAACTATATCATCAAACCAGGGTTAAAAGTGTGACATTGCCAATCATTTGCACTTGGTGACAGCAGACAAATAGAGGAAAGACCTCCCCAGAGAATCCTTTCCTAATCGAATCTTGGCAAAGATATTTGAAGAAAGAGCTTGAGTTTAATTCTGCTATAACAGTGGTTCAATTTTACAGAACCAAGTGATCTTATATGGAGGAAAACCCAAAGTGGTGCAGGTCGTAGATGTTTTCAATTTGAGTGAAAACCAGGAGAGTGTGTATGGTCTTGATAACCCAAGGGTCATAATCAGGGCAAATCTGGGTTTGAATCCACAACCTGTTAGCTGGTGCACACAGATCTGTAAAGCTAATTGTAGCATGTTGAGACAACTAGCTGAATGTCACAGTCACCTTCATTTCATAGTACTTCAGTAGGAGATCCCAGGCATGCAGAGTCTTAGTTGCTCTCTGTGACTTGCCAGAGAAACAGCCAAGCGGAACAACACTTGAACTCTGGCCAATCTGAAATAACACAATACTCATCAGAAACTTCACCTTGACTCAGTCAAATATGTAATCATGAAACTTCTTTTTTGTTGCTTAATGCCGCACTCACCAATATTCCAGCTATATGACTGTGGACAGTAAATAATCAAATATTGACCAGACAATCCAATGATTGACACCATGCGCATCGGTCCATGCAGTTGGGATACCATGTAACAACCAAATCAGCAAGCCTGACCACCGGATCCATCTCTTACAGTGAGTGAGTATGGTTTTATGCCGCTTTTAGCAATATTCCAGCAATATCACGGCGGGGGACACCAGAAATGGGCTTCACACAAAGTACCAATGTCGGGAATCGAACCCAGGTCTTCGGCGTGACGAGCGAATGCTTTAACCACTACGCTATCCGACCGCCCCTCCATTTCTTACAAGCATGGGTTGCTGGGGACCAATATTCTTACCTGGAATCCCCACCGGTTTCATCATAATAAAATGAGTATAATATAATAATATTGCTGACAGTGGTGTTATTGTGGCAGATACAAACAGTTAGTTGACATAATTGCCATTATCAAGGGTGCAGTTGGGATGCAAAGTATCTACTTTTCTGTTTTTCTAGTTATCCAGATTCTACTTAACAAGATTTGACTATAAATTGTAACCCCTGCCAACTCTTATATTTCACTCTAAGCCACAGTAGACTTTATATTGCCATTTATAAAGCGACCCAGCTGAAGAAACCTTCAAAATTGATGCTAATTTATCTACCCCATCTATATTGTGATCTAGATTGAAAGCACATTACCAAAGCATACACAATCCCTATATATGCAATAAAAACGTGTTTATCTTCCCTTGTCTTTTCTACAATGAATAACACCAGTACACAATACCATATTATGTTGAGACGGTACAAAACCAGATCAATGCCCAGAAAATAAAGTTCCCCATTGTATTGTTACTTATAATCTCTGCAACCATATTGTCATGATGCCAGCATGCTGTGCAGGCTGAAAGAGTTGTCTGTGCAGTGACACTGTAGTTCGTACCTCCATGAGGCCATGCTGCATGAGGTCTCGGAGAGCCATGGAGAGGTCCCGCCGCACACACTGTGTCAGGGCTGGGCTGCTCACATTGACAGTCTGCTCAACAGTCATGTAAATACATCAATCAGTTGCCAAACAAAACATGCAGCAGTCATCAAACAATATGTTACTATTACATATATACATTATATAAACTATTCTTTCTCTACATTATTTTGTTTACCAAGATGTAAAAACTCTATTCAATGAAATTAAATAGAATAATATTTGCATTGGAAAAATATTTTGCAATAATCCAAATTTAATTTAAACCAACACAATGTCAAACAATGTCAAATGCACTCATATATTTTAAACACACCATAAAACATTGTAAAACACTCTCTGCTATATCAGTGGGTCAAACATCATATACTTTACCTACATCATGTACACTTTTATAATGCTGTTTTGTAAGTACAGAATAGTTGGTGTTTCACTGGAACCTTTTCATATATTGTAATAATCTGAAGCAAGCAATCTATCACAGTTGTGAAATTCAACTGACAGCACTCCCGATGGAGAGATCTTCTCCAATGTATATTAACACAGATTATACAACCAAACCAACCTCGGAGTCATCGGAATATTCATTCTCGCTGTCTGTCTCTATTTCCTCTTCCTGTTCATGAGCCTTTTCTAGAGTCTTGTCTATCGCTAACTCCACCTTGGCCCTCAGATCACTGAAACATTGCCAAAACATAATGTCATTACTAAATACAAACTTGCAAAATGTTGAAAGGCCAAGCCACACATACGATTGTCATGCTATCATCTTAGAATATACACCCATACAAATAACATAGATAGGTAAAAATAAATCAACAAACAACTTTGTACACCTGTATCAACAAAACAACACCTGTATCAACAAAACAACTACTGTTGTGATAAGAATGTAAGGTGGCGAATCTTGGCTCTCTCCAGGTCAGTTTATTGTTAATCAGTATGTCCTATCCTACAAGTTTCAAGACTGATAATATTTTATGACTTCAAGTAAAAAATCAAGTGTTTAATGTGCAGGGTGGTAGCTTTTTGGTGTGGTTGGCTGATCATTATATCATAAACAGTGTTGCCTAAAACCTAAAGATGTGACAGCATTTTATGAATTCCCATTCATGGAGTCATAAATCGCTGGCTACCATCTAGTCAGGACCAGGTGATCTAAATGTTTGTCATCCTCCTACCCCCAGTGATTCCCCTTAGCTGTTTTCTTCAGCAGGTTCCGCTTAAACTCCCGACTGCCACATCCGAGCTGACTAATGATGTAGATCTGGAGCATCGTCAGTGCTTTCCTCATCAGTGACGCTGTCGACTCATTCAGATGCTGGAGAACAAAGATTGGGTCAGTTATAGTTGATCTATCAGTGTTACCCACAACCTATCCTAATCAGCTGTCAGCTTATGAGATGTTAACACAACAAGAACAACCAAATAAACCTCTTTGTCATTGATTACATCTGATATTTATCTTGACTGCCATCTATTTATTGTACTGTACGAGCATTTCAATCACACACTTCATAACACTGGGCTTATGTTGCAAGTAAATGCATGAACTGTAAAATCACTGTTCTACAAGCCATCATTACTGGAGAAACTAACATTCCAAGTTGTAATCTATTTCTATGCATGTTAAAAATACATATCACTGTTCTCTTATTTCTAATATGATAGTATGTTATCAATTACTTATCATATTTCTTTATTTACATCACTGTCAGACTTTTTGATTTGAGTAAAAATATAACAAATGAAACTACATGTAAATTCTGTTTCCATAAAATAACTATTTTGCAGGTACTGTACAGTGAAACACTGCCTTCTTGACCACTACTGTCTGGAGGAACACCTCTATGAATACATATATGGACCACGATTTACAACAAGATCCAGAAATATGTTGATCCAGACAATTTGTTGTTTAATGTTGAACTTAGCAACATTGAAGCTCTATGACAGTGGCCTTTAAATAAACGATGCTAGTCTAGTCAATCCAGTGATCAATATTGTGAGCAATCATCCATCGGGGTACGATGAAACACGATCAACGAAGTCACTGAGTCTGGCCACCTGATGCACTTATGACCAACTTGGGTTACTGGAGACACCTTCCAACTTAGAATCTCTGTGGGGGCCACTCAATTGGAATGAGTGAGTGAGTACAGTTTTCGCTGCTTTTAGCAATATTCAAGCAATATCATGGCAGGGGACAGCAGAAATGGGCTTCACACATTGTACCCATGTCGGGAATCGAACCCGGGTCTTCGGCATGACAAGCAAAGGCTTTAACCACTAAGCTACCCAACCGCCCTCCACTCAATTGGGACCTGTGAAGATCCGGGGTAGAATAGGTCTTCAGCAACCCATGCTTGCCGTAAAAGGCGACTATGCTTGTCGTAAAAGGCGACTATGCTTGTCGTAAAAGGCGACTAACGGGATCGGGTGGTCAGGCTCGCTGACTTGGTTGATGCATGTCATCGATCCCAATTGTGTGGATCGATGTTCATGATGTAAATCACTGGATTGTCTGGTCCAGACACGATTATGTACAGACAGCCGTCATATAGCTGGAATATTGCTGAATGCGGCGTTAAACAACAGACCAAACCAAAAAATCCACTCAATTGGAATGCTACTGTCCTGAAGAACAGGGTTACACTGGACACATGTATTAACATGGTTAATGTTCTAGTTACAAGATGCTGGCAGTCTTAGAAAGATTAAATCTCAGGGTTCGAAATAGATCCACATTCCTTAGATATGACATTACTCTTCAGAACAAAGTAACAATGGCAACCTGTTGAGGCCTGAGAGGTAACAGTCTCACCTTTTGATTCTTTTGTCCTGTGAACTTGTTTTTATGTTGCGGATGGCAGCATTCCTTGGCGCTGTCCGACGTATCATCTGATCCCTGAAAATTAAACTTTAACATGCAAAAGCATGAAAAATCAATAAATGATGTCCCAAAAACAATACTTATATAACATATTAATGCCCCTTTAAGAGCATATGTACAAGATGAGCAAAATTGTTTTCAATAAATAAATTAATTACCAATTATGTGTCTGTTATGTAAATGCACAACAGATTATGAAATTTGTTAAATTTAATATTTTCCATATTTGTGTTTCACAAATGAATAGAAATGTTCAGTAATGCTTTACAATTACCTTATGTACAGGACAGAAGCATCTCTCCTTTCCAAGAGGACCAGGGCTGCTTGCCTCCCCTATACAAGAGGTAATATTGAGTTAGTGAGCACAGAGTCATAGTTGGGATCACAGTGGTCTGCATGTGTAGGTGAAAGTGGGCGTATGAGATCATCTGAATGTGGGCAAAACCCAAACATGGGTCTTATTTACCCCTATTGGTGAAAACCACCAGCACGATAGCGTGTGAGCGTGTGACCTGGGCTTATCGCCACTTTGAACAGTATTCCTGCTGTATCACGCCGTGTCAGCTTAATTCGGGAGGAAAGCTTGAAGTGATGCAGGTCTTAGACATTTACCACTTTGGTGAAACCCACGAGCACGGGTATGGTGCTGACAAACCTAGAAACACAATTGGGACACACCAGGGACAAGGGACACAACTCTGAACAGTGAATTGCAGCCCTTAGATGACTAGTTGTGGTTGTGACAGAACAAGGTTCATAAGAGGGAAAACCAGAGATTACAGTGCGTGTGTGCGTGCGTGAGTGAGTGAGTGAGTGAGTTGGGTTTAACCCAGCTTTTAACAGTATTCCAGTGATAACGTGGCATGTCAGCATTATGTGCGAGGAAAGCCCGAAGTGAAACCTACGAGCACAGGTATGCTGCTGACAAGCCTAGAAACATAATCGGGGCGAACCGGGAATCGAACCCACAATCATCGGTTTCTAGCTCCCAAGGGACGCAACTCTGCACAGTGAATCGCGGCGCCCCAGACAACTAGGCCACCTGTGCCCCCCAGATATTACAGGGGCTGGGGTGGGTTGAGATTGGTCTTGGGACTGTACCATATTTTGCTGACCCCCCTTTCATTTACATGCAGCAACCCCTACCCACCAACCACCCCCAATCCTCCCTCCCTACCATAATGACCATGGCTAAGGGACATAACTTAGTACAGAGAATTGGAGTGTCATAGACAGTTGTGTCACTTTGCCCTGTGAGTTATAAATGCATGATTGGTTTGTCAGTCTGGCTGTCAAATAACACTTTGTAATGAAAGATGACTGACTGAAATTGGAGTAGTTCATTTTCTATTTTGTTCTATTCATTTATCAATATCTATTTAATACAGGTCTGGAAGTTACATACAAATAAACCACCCTCATTTACTACATAACTACTATACAAAATAAGTTTTAGTTTTTGTGTCATGTTAAAGACCCTAGGTTCATCATTGTTCATTTTGAACACTCTTGTATGTATAGTTAAGACCTCGTACCTTGCAGGAACTGTATAAACCTCTCGAGGTCTGTGATCTGGGTCTTTAACTGGTCTACCAGCTTCTCCTTCACCTTGGCTGGGTTCACAATCTGGAAATGATCATACATACAATTACTCTGGTCACAGTCTACGTCTCCTAACTTACATATATTTCCCAGGTCACCTATGAACATCTGAGTAACTTTAGGACCAGATGATGTATGGACAGAGATCACTGCATTTCTGAGGTTCAAAAAACATTCAAAAGACAATTGCAGGTACATTCAAGCTCAAACTTCCAAACTTTTCACCCATGAGTGAGTGAGTGAGTGAGTGAGTGAGTGAGTGAGTGAGTGAGTGAGTGAGTGAGTTGGGTGTAACGCCTCTTTTAACAGTATTCCAGTCATATCACGGCAATATCACCAAAGAAAATGAGGCATAAAGGTATCTGTCACAAGAAAATATGACACCTTGTTAACGCAAATTCCTTAAACTTGTTACATGATTTAATGTTGAACAATGTAACGTGGTGTCAGCAGAATCCTTATAGGCACTGTGGTCTAATATTGACACAAACTACTGTCATCTTTTTCTTCTTTTTTTTTCTATATTATTAATCCTTATTCCTCTATATTTTTTAAATTTTCACAAATCTATTCTATTGATTGTAAGGAATAATCTTCAGGTGTAACTGTGGGAGATCTTAAGTTGTGAAAACTTGTGTCTAATCTTATTCATGTGAATAAAATATACTTGAGCTAAGGTAGAACTCACCTGTCCAATTGCATGGTCCACAACTTGTCTCAGCTCTTCAGTGCTGACAAAACAATAAAGCTTTGTAATGTCATGTAGGATACACTGGCACTAATTTCACACAATGACAAGATTATATTTTTACTTCCATATTATTTGAATCTGAGGATCCCTCACATTTTCGCTTTTAACATTAGGGTTGTGACAAGGCCCCCTGTTTTATCTCAACACTGCTTAAAATAGATTTGATAAAACCCTTATGACCCATAACGATCAGTTTTTTTCAGAGGTCAGTGGTGTGGGACCCTGGCAAACCGAAATACTGACAAGAGTATTGATCCCTCAAACCACTGAATGTATAAATGGCAGTCTGCGACTTTGGCCACTAGTCTGAAACCTGTGTCTAGCATAATTCTGTTTGGTCAAGTACGCTCAGCTAGTAACAGTCCATACAATAATACTAAAATCAGCTGAAAATGTTAAGATCATTGTTCAGGTTGGAAGACTCAAAAGTGTTTGACACAACTGTAATGGATTTTCAACTCTTCATTACATTTATTGAGCAATGAGCAGAATTGAGTCTACGGCACATAACCCAAACAGCCCATTTCATTTGGGTATGATTTCACACATATATAAGCAGGGCCCAGTTCCACAAAGCGATCATTGTGCTAAGGTGGTCATAACTCCCATACTTTTAACACTGACTTACGACAGTCGCAGAGCTAAGACAATCATAAATCCCATACTTAACATTGACTTACAACAGTTGTAGCGCTTTGATCACTTTGCAGACTTTGATCAAGGCCCACTTCTACAAAGGAATCTTAGCACTATGACTGTCTTAAGTCAGTGTTAAAGCTAAGATCGCTTTGTGAAACAAGGCCCTGGCTGCATTGGTGTGAAATCGTAAGTGTTAAGTTATGGGAGTTACGATCATCTTTGTGATAAGATCGCTTTGTGGAATGGGGCCCCAGACTCCAAATGTGCCACACAATTCTAATCTTAATGGCTGATTAGACAAGCAAGTGTCCAGGAGCCCAGCACTCCCTATGAGACTATAGTACACCAGACATTCTAGCCTCCTACCTGAGTCTGTCAAAGTTCTGAAGGTCCAGGTCCAACTTGTGCTTGAGTTCATCAATGACAACTCTCTGTTTCTCCATCAACTGGTTGGTGGGCATCACTTCCTTGTCCCCAGTCTGCAACATCCAACAAAAGCTGTATCACATAGCTTATCTCCAGAGCATAGCTACCATCTTCTGCTATGCAGTTCTGTTCCATTGGAAACATCTTCAATTTTAGCACTTAATCTTTAGTCTTCCCATTTTAATCTCCCATTGATAAAAAATAACACTATGCCCTTACCAGTTTTGTCCCAAGCAAATGAAGATTACACTTCCAATACAATGAACACAGGAGTCAGCAATATGATTAACTATTCTTGTCTTGCATCATTTGTCAGATTCATGAACTCAAAAGATCATAAATAAATGTATCAAACATGGAGAAATTGGTCCTTATTTATAATGGCCTCCCTGGCTTCACAGATACACTGCCCACCTCATAAGCATATGTCTCAAGGTCCTCGAGCTGTGACTTGAGTTGCTGGATCAGCTCCCTCTGTTTCTCTCTCTGCTCCGATATCTTCATCTCATGCTCCTTGTCACTCTACAACAAACCAGGACACCAGACTCAGCACATGGTAAGTTTACCTAAGTAACCTCATTATTACTGGGTAAGACTCAAGTGTATTGATGATGGTGCAGTAAAGTTGGTCTCAGTCTTATCAGAGATGGTACTCAAAAACTGCACCTTGCATACCTAGCATGAACTATCAAGAAACCAAAACAACCCTTTCTGTATACCTGGGCCCTGTTTCACAAAGATCGTAGCTAGGACAGTCGTAAATCTGTGTTAAAGTATGGGAGTTACGATCGTTTTAGTCCTACGATCGCTTTGTGGAACAGGGCCATGGGTGAATACGTTCAATGCTGCTTTGAACTATTTCAGATATATCATGGCAGTGTGATCCAGGGATCCTTGAGGAGTTCTCTTATGGTAGAATCTTTAACTTTTAATATTAAGGCTATGACTAGGTCCCCCCGACTTTGATTCTTAATTTTGAACACTGCAAAACATGAGATAGGAGAGCCTGAAGTGCCACTGATGTTATCTATGCCTTAAAACATTCCTAAAAGCTATGTTATCATGTTGTACCACACAAGATGAATACTTCAAGATTAGTAACAGAGGTTGTTTAAAAAATTTGAATGACAAAATGTGCATTTTTGACTTGAGACAAATGCCCATGTATTGATGTAATGAACGTACCATCTCCTCCAGGATCTGAGCGTCCTGCACCTTGCAGCCTCTCACATCTGGGATGCCCTTAAAGGCAAACTCCTCAAGCTCCTTCAGCAGGTTCTGTACAAAGCAAGAGAGGCAGTGAATGAATGTAACGCTGATGAGAAGTGCAGGGTCTTAACAGGCAGTACCTTGGGCTGGGACAAGTCGAATTTAATACCCGGGTACCCGACCCACTATTACCCGACCGGGTACCCGGGTCCTACTCAGGACCCACCCGACCTGAGTACCCGAGTTACCTGTCCTAGCCCTAGCAGTACACATTCAAAATTGTTTACTGGTTTATGGAAACATACATACGGAATAAAATTGTTTGGCTAGCCAATCAAATGCTATGGAATCATTTGCAATTTATCAACATCCTACTACTGCTGATCTGCTGCATACCTCTCTGTCATCGGGGGCTGATGTGACTATCTGTTTGAGTCGGAACTGGACCTGGGCGAAGTGGGTAGTGAGAGCCAGGAGGGAGGAGTTAAGCTGCTCCTGTTCTTCCTCTAGGGTCTTCAGCTGTTCTGTCTCAGACAAGTGGCTGCAAAGAGATGAGGTGAAATGGGGTTTAACGTCTCGTTCAAGATTATTGTACTTATATAGTGACGTGCATGCATGTGTGTGTATGTGGCTGCTTGTACAAGTCCAGATTAATGCCAGTTTTAGAGCGCTGGCTCACTGAGATACCATGCCACAGTTCAACATGGATACCCCACTCAGACACAGTATAGGCCTTCTGATGCCGAGCCGAGCTCATTTCACAAACGGGCCAATGGCAAGTACAGGTGTTCTCTTAAAAAAATGAACATTGTTTCCTCTGTGGAATGGTGACCAAGTTCTCAACTAAGAGTTTGGGTAATTTATGTTGATGGTCTTAGATACTACAAAGTTGTCTGCTTATTCATTAAATATTTAGAATTTTGGAATATTGCTGAGTGCGGAGTCAAACAAAAAACAAAAAACATTAAATATTTAAATTACACAAATGAGTAACCTGAATCAGTTATTTCATTTTAATGAGAACACTAACTTTGTCAATTTCTAAAAATTGAAAGATTTTGTCTGTATTTCTTTGACAATGTATTGAGGGGATTGTATTGAATCTACAGATCATGATTAAGTACAAACGACGAACCTACTTGTGTCCATTGTAACTACTACTGTGATTACCAGGGACAGGCATCGAGCAGTGCGTAATACAAACCTTTGACACAAGGGTAAAAGGGAAGTATTTGCACTGGAATCCACAATGGAGTGCTTTTTGGTATTCATTAACAGTGGTTATTTACAATATATTGACATACTACACAATGTATACTGTGCATGAATACTATACCAACAGTGTTCTAGGATCACACATCCAGGCAAAGGTCCAGGTTGGTACCCCCCTGTTGCCCTTATTGATCCTGGCTCCTAGCATAGTCACAGTTTTAAGGAACAATAGAAGGTAGAGGTGTCAAGCTCGTTAAGGATGGCTGTAGGAATATAATAATACTAACGAGGGACCCTGTTGTCATGGTTGTAGGAATTAACTGTTGATAATTAGGCAAGTCTTGTCTCTAACAGGGACAGCAATATAGATTTATCTGTATTGATAGAGCCTACTTCAGTACAAATACATTGGTGGTGCCCTTGTACTTTATTATATTTTATATATATAATGGCGACATAAGAAAACTGGCCTCTAATGGCAACATTACAAAACTGGCCTCTAATGGCAACATTACTAACATGGCCTCTAATGGCAACACTACTAACGTGGTCTCTAATGGCAATGCTACTGCCCTGGTCATAATCGCAATGCTACTAACATGGCCACTAATGGCAATGCTACTGCCCTGGTCATAATCACAATGCTACTAACATGGCCACTAATGGCAATGCTACTGGCCTGGTCATAATCACAATGCTACTAACATGGCCTCTAATGGCAATGCTACTGCCCTGGTCATAATCACAATGCTACTAACATGGCCTCTAATGGCAATGCTACTGGCCTGGTCATAATCACAATGCCACTAACATGGCCGCTAATGGCAATGCTACTGGCCTGGTCATAATCACAATGCTACTAACATGGCCGCTAATGGCAATGCTACTGCCCTGGTCATAATCACAATGCTACTAACATGGATGCTATGGACCTGTTTTACCACAACAACTCTACTAACCTGGACTCCAATGGTGATGGTGTAGGGCTGACAGCAGCTCCTAGAGGGGCCCATCTCTCTGCAGGTCGGTCATAGTTTTGCTCATCAAAACTGTCATAGTCAGTAGTGTCCTCAGTGACAACACTCGTCTCCTGCATCATCTTGCTGGGGAGGGGGATTTCGAGATCTGACCAAAAAAAAGTATATTGATGAACATGATGAAAGATGTCACAGTAACCTACACACAACTGGAATCAAGTTGATCACCACATGGGTTTGAGGAGTAAGGATTTGGACTGAATACAAATTGAGTAAGCAGGCTTTCAACCTGCACACACTATTTCAATCATGCAATATCAGTCAGTGGAAGAATTGGTCTTCAGGAACCCAAGCTTGTCATAAGAACCGACTAACGGGATTGGGTGGTCAGGCTTGCTAACTTGGTTGATGCATGTGATTGTGCCCAAATTGCCTTGATCGTAGCTAATCATATCAGTCACTGGATTGTCTGGTTCAGACTCGATTATTTACAGACCTCCATCATATAGCTGGAATATTGCAGAGAGTGGCGTTAAACAACAAACAAACGAAATATCAACCCCCTAAATATTTTTTTCTAACACTTCATCATTAATTACTGTAAGGGAAAAGGTCTTCTAGCACATGATCAACCATATTCATTTGATCAAACAGCCTATACAATTGCTCTATAACTGATCAGGCTTGACAAGTCCAATCATAGCTAGTATGATGGGAGCCTGTTCAGATTAAATATTAATGACCCTGACCTGTATAGTATATGCTACAAGACCAACAATATACTAGCCACTAAGTGGGACCAGCTGGTCTAAAGGAAATCATTTCTGTCTGTCAACAGCAATGCTCAATAGTCTGAACTTCAGACTATCATAATGAAAGTAATCACAAGGGCCACGGTCCACTCTGACATACACAATATCTACAAATACTGACTGTAGTATTGATTCAGACAAAGACAGACCTAAGGACAGATTGTGTTGTCTACAATAAATTGACATTTACACAGCTATATCAAATGTATCCCGATTTCTATACTTTTGTCTGTCTACCCACCATTGCACATGAAGCAGAAGAACCCTTAAACACATGTTAAAGTGAAATACAGAAACGGATGTAATATTGAAACTCAAAACTGATCAAAAAGTCCAAAATAATTTATCTGATGCTTAACCATAACCTGAACAGCCACAGTTGACATTCAGCCTTATCCATATAGGGGCGAGCGATAGTCTGGTGGTTAAAGTGTTTGCATTGGCGCTCGAACGGGTAACTCATGTACTCGGGTTGGGTGGGGTGGGGTGGGGACTGAGTAGGACCCCGGTACCCACAGGACTACCCTGACCCGTTGTTAGTCATGTGATATAGTGTTTAATGACAAAAATGATCTAAACATGCCAAAACTCTATCACTACACTATAAGTCACTACTGCTCGCATTTCTTTCTGACTGTGCACACATTCCTTCTGACACCCATATGTTTGAATAAAGGTAAAACTTGAGTCAACTTCAGTCAATGCATGACCAGACTGTCTCATATGTGTATCTAAATATGTTTTGCCATAGCTACAGTCAATGTTTTCCACATCGGACAGTTTGTACCTATCTCTTGTATGAGACCTACGGCGGGTACCCAGGTAATAGGGGGAAGGGTACCTGGGTAGTAAATTTGGAGTCGTCCCAGCCCTAGTTGACATGCTGCAGATTTGGGTATGATTCCTGACATAGGTATTGACACGGGTATAATGTCAGGTATTTATCCAGAATCCGAAACTAAAAGCCTCTGCACGCAAATTGGTAAAATATTGTTATTTTGTTCAAAATTAGGATTTTTTTAGGTTCTTATTTTCCTAAGTTCATAGGCATTTTAGCATTGTATTTATATAAAGATAAGCATGAAAACCTCTTCCTATTTAGTTACACATATTAACATGAATTAGAAAATGTTTCCTTCTGATTTGGTAATAACATTTGCTGCAGGTTCTGATAAATCCCCGAATGTGTGAACATCATGCTTGGTTCCACGGCCCTGATATGGCTGTAGTAATGCAAAAACACATTCAGATACCCAACTCACTTTCTCATTCATTTTACATTAATGTATTTCCTTGATTAAACAACCAGGCAAATATTTCTTGCAGACACTCTTTCGCCCAGCGTTTGGTCACAAAGTCAACTCTGTAGAAGGGACAATTGAAACTAATTGGTTCTACCTGAACTTCCAACAATGCTGTTAATTACACCCTGATGGTAGATTACAAATAATTTTCTAATGTTCATCTGATCCCATTATTGGTTGTTATCATGGTTATATCCTATTTTGTTTCAATTTCGATTTGGCAGATCATAAAATGATCGTAATATATTGTAGTTATTGGCCTTAAGCGATATTACCCATTTAACCAGATTAACTAAGAACATCCGTACAAATTTAAAAGTTATAATTTTGTTGTTGTCACCCATTTGTTTTCTTGAAACTGTACTGCACACAATACCTTACACAGGGTGTGACTGGAGCAAGACCTTTTGGCATGATCAGGAAATTGATGAGTATTATCAGTATGGTTGTGGAGGCAAAAAAAACCCAATATGACAAAATATAACTTTATGACCTTTCAAACTTTCTAAATATTAAGTTAATTATTTCAAAAGCAATTTGGATAGTGTAGATTGTGAAGATTAAACATCAAATTTCTACCTCAAAGGAAGAAGTAATTATCATCATGGTCATTTGTTGAAACTATCAGCTGTATCATGATTTATATCAGTAATACATGCAATTATAAAAAACACAACAGACAGGAATATGTTTAAAAAATATGCCATGATTAGAAATGATATAATAGTCACTTTTAGACACTCATACTGCTGGAATTGTATCTAATGATTGTGGAGAGAAGAAATGGGGTTTAACATTGCATTATAGATTATTGTACTAAAGATAATAGTGCAAGCCTACTGAGATACCATGCTGCAGTTTAACATTGATAGCCCACTCAGACACCGTATACTGACTTCAAGAAGACCGGTTCTTGTTTTATGCCCTTAATGCCAAGTGTTAGGCAGGGAACAAATCCAGATGGTAATGTTACATCCCATATGCATAAGCCATGAGTGAGTGAGTGAGTGAGTGAGTGAGTGAGTGAGTGGGTGGGTGGGTGGGTGAGTGAGTGAGTGAGTGAGTGAGTGGGTGGGTGGGTGGGTGGGTGGGTGAGTGAGTGAGTGAGTGAGTTTTAACGCAGCTTTTAACAGTATTCCAGTTATATTACTGCCTGTCAGCTTAATGTGGGAGGAAAGCCCAAAGTGATGCAGGTCTCGGACATTTACCACTTCGGTGAAATCCATGAGACAGGTATGATGCTGACAAACCTAGAAACATAATCAGGGCAAAACCAGGAATTGAACCCACAAACATAGCTTTCTGGCATGCCCAATGGATGCAACTCTGCACAGTGAATCGCGGCACCTTAGACAACAAGGCCACATGTGCTCCCGCATAGGCAATGAAGACAGGAGTGGGCGGCAGTAGTAATTCAATCCATTCAATAAATGGGTCACCATATCAGACTGCTTATCATTATAATGAAACCAACCATAATTATAGGAATAATCTACTGACGTGGTATGTTTAATTCCTGACTGCATAAATTTACCACTCTCTACTGGTGCTGGAGCTGACACTAGTACATGGTGTAGGCAGACAGTGAGGTCCCTGTGACTGACAGATGGTGTCTACTGTACAACTCCGTGATCACACTTGACATGATCCAGTTGTCACTTTCCATAACAACCATTATTAGCATAGATAAAGTCACAAACTGATAAAGCCAACATAACCCTGATAGGAGCATTGTAGTCCGGCAGTGTAACAATTCTGCATGGATCACAATAGGACTTGTCATAATACATTTTTTTCAATTTACGTGTCAACTAATCTTACAGTATTTACACAATATATTTACAAAACTGACACATTAATCATTTAATTTAAGCCAATTACAGGGATTTTTATAACAATGATTAGAGAAATATAAACCACCAGCTACCTTGACCACAAAATTAAAAAAAAATATATCATGGTTCAACATGAACAAAGTCAAAAGCTGATGGGCATAAACCCATTAAAATGATTATAACCCATATTAATGACAAAATGCAACTGATGGACTTAGTTAACCAAAACAAACAAAATCCTTACCACAAACTATCTCAGAGTCGCATACAAAGAGGGTCAACTAATCCTAAGCCAGATTCCGGATCTGCCCGATATAGACAATAACACGTAGGATGTTTTCAAATCAAACCGCAGATAAGCAGCTGTGCTCACCTTAACCCCAGACAAGGACACAGGAAGCCCAAGATCTGGGCAACAGCAGGCCTAAAACACATGCACTATGCATGCTATATACATAACCAGTTTACAGTAATTGCCACACTCCACACAAGATCTTCGATCAATATTGTATATATATCTGCTGGCTTACATTACTTCCCAGATGGGACCTTCACAGTCATAAATCAAACTCATGGGGATAAATTCAATTTATTCAAGGTCTGCAAGTGTGGGATTGATCATAACTTGTGTTGATATTTTCATAGGTGTTAATGACTTTCTCCACCTTGATGTACTATTATAGGTTACTTATAGTGAAACTTGAAACAGGCCAGCCTTTTAGGTGTGCTGTTGGTTGATTACCGAATGCTTGAGGTTGACATGGTCAAATGGTCAAATGTCTTGTGGTCATAACACCAGACCAACTGAAGTACTTGTTCTCCATCCTAGTGTTGAGTGTGTAAATGCCAACAATTTCAATTATGTCAGCTTATCACAACAGCCTTAACTCATATTGACCAACTGACGGATGTAAACCTATTCATATTGACCAACTGACGGATGTAAACCTTGATCAGTCTCCATCCATTAGACCATCCAGAAAATGTTCTCAAGGATCAGAGGAATGAATATGTTGCCTAGAGTTCTTTACGGGTGTTGTTTGTTTTTCTTCTGATTGGAAACAGTAATCTGGTAAAAACTTGATGACCTATAGAACAATAATCCTCTGCAGTTAGCCTGCATTAATATTTCTTTTATATTAATTGGTAAATATTGAAGTTGCAGAATCAGAATGAAAAATATTTATTTTGAATATCATTAGATCACTATTAAGAGTAGCGAAAACTACTTGTTCAGGACAATTAGAGATCAACTAGGACCAGAAATTATAGCATTATGATGATATCACGCTATTGTTGATTCTGATCCAGGAATTCACTGGCCATTATGAACAAAATTATGAACAAGTAAAACTGATGCAATTATAGGTCATTATGCAAAATTATAGAAAATATATATATATGAACCATAACATGGTTTAAGCTGGAGAAACCTCCTGAAGTAAAGTCAACAGATTCTCATGATTCAGGGGTATTTTGGTATTACAAACAATGCAAAAACGTAAAACTAAACATTAACATGATTAAAGCCACTTCACTATGAGTGAAATCCATAACATTAGTTGTTCCTATAATATATAAGTAATTGTTTACTCCAATTTGGGATATTAATACTGACATTTGTTACAGATCTGGAGCTGAATCAGCCTCTGAGCAGGTCTAGATAAATCTATGTAGAGTGTGTGTCTTGATACTTTAACAAGTATAAGGTATTGTCATGTATATGATTTTATTAATTAAAAACACTTAAAGGCCAGAAACCTGTTATGTTGTGAATGTATTACAGGCCTTAAAGATATTAAATTTACCAATATCTATTCATACACCACAAATTGCAAAGACAAGAATTCTTTATTGTTTCAAAATCATAACATCAATTCTAGTCACTAAGGCTGCCTTTCTCATGACCCCATCACAATAAGACCTGGAAATACAATTGATAGGGCCTTAAATATGTCATAGTCATTTAGAAATAGTCTCTTGAGATGAATTTTTGTAAATGATAAAGAGCAATAGGGTCAATGGTGACCCGATCATTTGTCAAAGTTTGTGGAAAAGCTTTTAAAATTAACTATGAATGACCTTTCTCCTTAAGTTAATCCAGTGCCAAGATCCTCTTAAAACATATCAACTGACTGTGCAAGTCTCCACAGTAGTCAACTGCTGCAATTGAAATATGCTCACTCTTTCATACCATGTCATGAAATGATTCAACATCATTTTAATCAGTTATCCTGTTGATCATGGTAAAAAGAAGTACAGCCCTGTCCGACATGTTTCTTCACCAAAAAGCTACAGCGATTTATCAAGATATCCCAAGAGGCCTGCATTTTTCAGCCGCAGGTCTACAGCAAATTCTACAAAAATTCCAAATTGAAAAATCAAAATCTCCCAGTCAAGGTTATTATAATTCAGTATGCCATGGGTATTAATTCTTTGATGGGCATTTAGAAGTTGGAAGAACATAATTATAAGACACCTTTTTATGGAAGGACCAAGAAGTAGCCCTGAAACATTGTTACAAAGAATAAAGAAATAACTATCCATAAAAATGTGTCATGTAGCCAAAGGTATTGTTTTAGTTTTGCCAGGGTGATTTGTAGTTCACTAATCACAGGATCATTATCAATGAGAAAATTGTTTTACAGTACACTAATTTTACTTTGTAAAAACTGCAGTTCGTTATAAACATTTCGACCGTCAGACATTTTCATGATCTTGGATCAAGTCACATGACCACATCCTGTTACTCGACAAACAATGATTAAAAGTGTGCACTGTATATGTGACTGGCACTTGTCAGTGATAGACTCTCACTGCTTGATGATTGACTCAGAGTGGATTAAGGGATACCGTATTCATCAGCAGAGATCATCGGAGGCTTAATGTTGATGCCTAAAGCTTTCCACTTTATGTGTGTCTGTCATCGTAAGTTTATCAATACTGAATTTCCTCACTCTAGTCGTCTTCAGACTTAAAAGACAGAATATATCCACTTGATGGGCTCTAGCCTAATCACTGTGTTACTATTGCTAACTGAATGTGTAAACTGAGAACAAGGTGTCAGTACACAACCAGTCAATCACTCGCCTTCAATTGTTTGTTTATGGCCGTTTTATTAGGTTGATTGGTGACACGTGAGCAGTTCAGAGATTAACAGTTTGTATAAACATAAACATTGTCGTTGACAGAGTCCACACGGGACCACAAAGTGAAAAGCGTTAGCTGAAAGTGAGTTTGCTAAATCTGTTATTTTGTTATAAGCTTGTTCGGTATTTAACGCAAATGAACAAATGGCCGGGACCAAAATGATAGTTTGTTATACAAATATCAAATAAATTGCTTTCCCCCAATTGTGTTGGTCATTTTAGCCACAGGCACATCCCTGGTTTATCATGTTCATTATGCACTGATAATGATGTGAAGTGTTCCAGCAACTTCGTCTAATCATATTATGCTGATATCTGCAAATTCAAGGATCATGAACAAAATTGTAAACAAGTTAAACACAGATGTTAAATGTATTAAAAGTTTTCATGGAATTAAATCTAAAACCCAAGATAATACATATTCAGGATGCAGATGGATATTTTCCTTTTCAGCTAAAACTTCTTTGCAATGGAGCGTGGTCCATAATATGGGGGTGTTTAAGGGGGAAGCCATCAAATCTTAAGAAATTTGTGGTCACCATAATTCATATAAATTTGTGGATCCGCAGAAGATTCTCACCCCGGCATATCTCTCATTTACAATTCAGCATGGAATATCGAGGAGCCAGAGTTACCACAAATCCTTTGATCCAATACAACACTATAGTAAATATAGTACAAGGTGTGACGTACATTCACAACATCCACAATAACTCTGAGCAATGCTCTTCCAGAATTGGGCTGACCAGGTGTTATATTACTGCTAATTGACACCATGAAACAGCTGTCTCAAACAGATTATATCCAAGCTGTGATGCAGAATAATCCATGGTTTGCCTACTCACACAACAGGTTTCAGCTGATCAGTGTTGTTACTCAGATAGCTAGTCGACTAGACTTCCTCACAATATCGGTCTGAAACATTAGCCACTTATGCGTCAGAATCCTAGGTCTAGTAAAGTTTCATTCCAATCTCATTAAAATCAGATCTTAGTTCTTGCTATCGCCAAACAAAGATCTGAGGACATCCCATTACGAGTCACGTCAGAACGACCTTTCATCCGACCAATCAAAGCGTCACTTACAGGATCATGAAAGTGACCGTTGGAATGTGTTTTCCAATCATGCAACCTCGAAATCGTTAACACGGGGTATTCCAAACGACAGTTATGGCCCGTTCGACTGATTCCGTCAAGATTATTGTCTATCTCTCGCTTCTGTGGGATAAACATTTGAATGGAGGAGGCGTTGCACAGAACGTGGAAAGCACTGCCATACAATCGCAACTATATATTAGACCTTCCGGAATGTTCGGTTGTTCAATTTTCAAAATTTTAATCATGAACTGTGTCAAAATATTTTTCAAGCGTAGTATGAAATGGAAGTCACCAGGTTAAAACGAGTGCTGTAGAGCTTAAGGCTGCTTTCTAATTGGCTGATGTCAACTTCTTGTTAGACATTTCAGTGGTCGTAAAAGTTTGCGAAAGGTCGTTCTGATGTGACCCGAAAGGGGATGTCCTCAGATCATTGTTTAGCGGTAGCGAGAACTTAGATCTGATTTTCATTCAGTTTCATTCAGTCACTGTATGGATCTGATTTATAATACGATGCAGTCAACATATACGCTGAGATATATGCAAGATCAGTACTGTAGATAAATACATGACACATAAGTGAGGAGAAGTGGATATAAATATCAGGGGAGGCGATAAATATGTTGCAATAGGTACTGATAACAAATTTGTTGCTATGACATTGTGTAGTGCCACACTCAGCAATATTCCAGCTGTATGATGACAGCCTGCAAACAACCGAGGCTGAAACAGACAATCCAGAGACTGATATTGTGAGCAACAATCCATGTACAATGACACACAATCAACTAAGTTATCCAACCTGACCATCTAATCCATTATGTCGCCTCTTACAACCAGTATAGGTTGCTGTGAACCTTTTCTAACCAGGATCCCAACAATGAGTATATTCAGTTTGGGGCACGGGTGGCCCAGTTGTCTAAGGCATTGTGATTCGCTGTGAGAAGTTGCGTCCCTTTGGGCACGCCAGAAACCTATGATTGTGGGTTCGAATCCTGGTTTGCCCCGATTATGTTTCTAGGTTTGTCAGTACCATACCTGTGCTCGTGGGTTTCACCGAAGTGGTAAACGTCTGAGACCTGCATCACTTCGGGCTTTCCTCCCACATTAAGCTGACACGCTGCGATATAACTGGAATACTGTTAAAAGCAGGGTTTAAAACCCAACTCACTCACTCACTATCATCCAGCTACATCAAGCATTTTCTTGGGATATACTGAATCCAGTTATGAGCATATATAAACTGAAACATACACTAACTGAAATCAACAAATCTGCAGTGGAAATATATATCCACCCTTGTGCAAACCATATGAATCCAGTCCAGTGTATGAAAGAAGATGTAGAGTTGAATCCATCACACAGGGTAAATCCAGCTGGAGCAATGGCTATACTTACATAAGTTGAAGCACACATAGTATGGCGACCATGTCCAATCACAATCATCAGAATATAAAGAAAACTAACCAGCAGACGACTCCAGTGGGAGTATTCATCAATCCTCACCCAGTCTACACATCAACCAGAGTATAACTGGCAATAACTGCCTGTATGCCCCAACACACTACAACAACAGTGGCCCAGCCCTGCCTTGAGTGACGTTGATTCACTACAATATAAATGATAAGAAGTCCCGGAGAGACTCGCCCACAACAAACACCATGGTTCTAGCCTTATCTGCGTCCTGCTGGCTTAACACTGGGGGATAGGTGGGAACAGAAGGCTACCACAAACTGTTACCTCCATTACATAATTTGAATACATTATTGACAATATTGAGTTTTTCATAAAATTTGAATTCAAACTCTTCAAAGTAGTATTTCTTTCTATGTGGTACAAATAGTTAAAACCTATAAGTAACATGCAAAATTCTTGATACTTAAAAGGAAATAAGAACTGTGAATATACATTTAATGCATTGCATATCTGTACCACTAATTATGTAAACAGCTGCGCTTTTAACGATTTACCCAAAGTACAGATCCAGTAAATATTTGATTTAGCTTAGTAAAAAAAGACTGTAAGAATCCATTAAAATCAAATCATAATGGTTACAACTAAGCACGAGATATTGTAAGCCATGTCAACATAGCCAACAGATGTTTGCTCTACCAGGATGAAAACTTTTGGGCACAGATTTCTACATCATTACAACTGTCAATTGTGCTGAACCAGTTGTGGAATCACTTCAAACACATAAGCTTAGTCATGTGACATATGATTTTGTAAAATACATGCATTTTTACAAAGAGATTTAAAACATTAATTTTTAAAATATTTCGATTATCGTAATATACAGTTTCGAGGGCTATATGTAGGCTAAAAAATTGTATTCCAATATATTGCAATACACATATCAATACTGCAATACATATTGCAATATATTGGGAGCTTAAGTGTTTGACAGTGATTGACTCTGATTGTACATCATGTACATACAGATCCTATTTTCTACATACTAAAGAATACATGGTCAGTTGCCGAGAGAAAATAACTTCCACGTTTCGGCTGTTTCATAAGTGAACGAATTTCTGTGAAGATTTTAGGTTAAACTATACAAATAATGAATAAAGTTGTTCTATATATTTTACCCAGTATAACGGAACACAGAAAAATATTGCAATATTTATCCTTTGAAAAACGTATTGCAGAATACTGGTACACTAGAATACCGGTATCACAGAGCAGTAGTAACAGTTAACCATATTAACAAGAAAAGAATATAGTTCAATTACTCATACCTGATCACTTTGAGCAGGTTCAGCACGATGAATCTATTGTATCTCAAATAAGCTAAAATATCTCAGTGACTAAAGTTGGAGATAAAAGTCATGTGTCCTTGTCAATTTTAGGGATCCCCAAATTCAAATACCACATGTATTACAGCCAAGTTCAGTTGAAACACTGTTTATCAAACTCCCAGCACCTAAAACACGCAACATGTACCTGACGAAACAATTACCTGCTGCAAGTATGATGTGGATGAGGCAAAACTTCCTTCAGACATAAAAAAATCAAATATTTTCAAGCAAGAATTGAAATTATTCACAACATGAAGAATGTCAAAGGGTGTGGAACATGGGAGTCAACACATAACACTCGACTCCAACTGAACCAAGATGATAATCACTGTGCAAGCTAATTGTTTCAACACGCACATTTCACCTGGTGAGTTCCCTGTAGGTTTTGTCAATATCACACCTGTCTCCTGCTGGGACTCTGATTTATCTACACAACAAGACGGGCGTGCTTTTCACATGACACACCCCATCACAGTTGATCATTTTTATGTCAGTCCTTATAGTTGCTGTCACTAAGATAGCACCATCAACATTTCTTTTTTATAAGCCCCTTGGGAAGATGAAGTAACTGACATATTCAGCATATCCTCTAAATCAGCATGAAGTCTACACACCTGTTGATGATGTCACAGCACAGCAGGTGTTCTTGGTCTCCCATGCAGTTACTACCTTTAGGCCATAATAAATCAATTACCTTTTTGTTATTTGCTGTTAATCCCAGTCCACCTCACTAATGAACACATATCACCCAGTCTGACACTACCTGCCTCACACTATTGTCTCCAGTACCTACAGACTGTCCCTGTGTGAAGGCCTTCATTCTTTAGTTGATGAAATACACAGTATTAGTTCTACCAAACATTTGTGAACCAAATTTGTTGACAGTCAATTATGGAGATGTCTTTGGCAGCCTCATAAGTGTGTCACTTGTGCCTAATCCATCTGATTTTTGCAATAAATATGTTTAAATAAACAGTTTGTGAAACATTTGTCTTAAACAAATGTATATATCTTTATATGTATGTATGTGTGTGTGTTAGTGTGTTAGAGTGAGTGAGTGAGTGAGTGTTAGAGTGAGTGTTAGAGTGAGTGTTAGAGTGAGTGAGTGAGTGAGTGTGTGTGTGTGTGTGTGTGTGTGTGTGTGTGTGTGTGTGTGTGTGTGTGTGTGTGTGTGTGTGTGTGTGTGTGTGTGTGTGTGTGTGTGGTTTAACACTGCTTTTAGCAATATTCCAGCAATATCACGGTGGGGGACACCAGAAATGGGCTTCATACATTGTACCCATGTCGGGAATCGAACCCGGGTCTTCGGCGTGACGAGCGAACGCTTTAACCACTAGGCTACCTGACTGCCCCGTCTGTCTGTCTGTCTGTCTGTCTGTCTGTCTGTCTGTCTGTCTGTCTGTCTGTATGTATGTATGTATGTACGTACGTATGTATGTAAAAAATAAAATTATTGTGGGTTTATCTGACTTTACAACATCACAGATCAAACAAACTTTCACAGGGAAGCATTAATTACAGGTGTATTTAGGAATTTGAATGATGTGTGTATTTTTACAAAAGTTAACTATGTTGATAAAGGAACACGCTTATAACGAAGTGACGGGTATAATGAACTGTCTTTCTGGTCCTGGACAGTTGCATTATATTTTATCACAACAAAATGATGGACATAACAAACACGATTATAACTAACTAACAGATATAGCAAACTCGCTTTGTGGTCCCGTGTATACAGTGTTATGACAATGTTTATGCTTAAAACAAACTGTTAATCTCTGAGCAGCTCACAAGTCACCAATCAGCCAATTACATATACTGTGGCCGCATGTTTGTTCAAAGCTGCAATTAACAATTGAATGCAAGTGATTAACTGGATTAAGTAATGACACCTTGTCCTCAATTTACAATAGTGAAACAGTGATTTGGCTATAGCCCTTTGAAGTGGATATATGCTTCAAATGTGACGACTACAGTGAGGAGCTTCAGTCAAAATGCTTATAATGAACTATGTTTTTATTCAACTAAAATTAGTTTAAAACTTTAGTTCTGCACTGGAAACGGAAATAACATTGTTTTTATCTTGAAAAAAAGAGAAAAAAAGAGAGAGAAAAGAACTTCCAAACCATCAAAAGGCACCAGTTCCCAAATAGACTTATCAATATCAAAAGTTCTAACAAGAATATTTAAAGGTTTGAGAGTTCTGCTCCGGAAACAGAAAATGGACAGATGGATGGACATGCTGATCACTACACACCACCCCATCCCCGTTTTACAACTGGGAGAAGAAAAATAAGATTGAAATTAAAAATCAGAGTAGCATTGCCGATTTTATGCAAAATCAAAATGTACACACTAGTTTTTTCTCCATAATTGCAAACATTTGTTGAAGTCTAAGTCATAAAAAAATATGTCAACAATAATATATCCTCGAAGACTGCTCATTTAATCATTAACACACAAAAAACCTAATATGAAATCAGAGACATCGTTCACCACAATATTATGACATTCTATTATCAACCAGTCAGGAAACAGTCATCTGCTCGTTGGCATGGCCTACATTATTTTGGTTAACGTAAAACATAACCATATTTGAATATGTGCATTTGTTTAAATATATATATATTATGCTTAACATGCTTAAGTGTGATGCTGTTTCTATGGTTACAGACTTGAAATGACGCTTTGGGCACTGATATTCACAAAAACAAGAAACAAACCTGATTTGTCATATTCCAGACAAACGTCAATTCCTGAACCATTGTCCATTTATCAAAGCTGTTCAACATATGTTGATATTTGAGATTAGGACCTAAGATAAATATTGTCCTTTCATATGCAAGCATGAGTGTTTTCAGCAATGGTCAGGAGCGATGTAGGGGATTGTTGGCATACCTGTTAGAATACTGCATTATGTATTTTAAATAATATAAAGAAAATATGAAATATTTCCAATGTCTAGCAAAATTCATCAGTATGCATGGTATGAAATCAACTTTATGATCATTGATATGAATAATATACATATTAATAATTCTTTTATGAAATATCATATTTTAATAACAAAATTTGAAAGTGTATATAATATTATAAGTAGAGTGTTAGCAAATAAGTGGGCTTCTGATATCCTTGAGGGTATTTGCTGTACTCTGTGTATGAATTTAGGCACATAACATGCTAAATCTGTAATTCTTAACATTAGGGTTACAACAAAGACCCCTTGGCTTTCATTGTGTTTATTTCTAATTTAGAACACTGGTGTAATCTGGTAATAATTGTTATCACAGCTTACTGTTTGACACAGCTAATAATGGCATGGCTTCAATTTTATTTTTTGACTGAATAGATAGTTGAGTCACTTGTGCTGTAGGTAATAGCTAACCTCTCACCCTTAAACTTCTGCTCCGTGGTCTAGTGGTAGAGCGTCCGCCCGGAGAGCGGAAGGTACGGGTTTTGATCCCCGGCCGCGTCATACCAAAAGACGTTAAAATATGGTACTTGTTGTTACCCCGTCTGGCGCTCGGCATTAAGGGGCTAAAACAAGGACTGGTCGGCTCGGAGTCAGTATACTGTGTCTGAGTGGGGTATTCATGTTAAACTGCGGCATGGTATCTCAGTGAGCTAGCACTATAAATCAGCATCAGTCCAGACCAGTAGAAGCAGCTACACACACAAACACGTGCATGCATGGTGCTATATAAGTGCAATAATCTTGGAAGCGAAGTTAAACCCAATTTCACCTCACCTCACCTTAAACTTCTGACAAATGAATGATCTATTTCTGTGAGACTACAGCC